AATCTACAAGGTTTACCTGCTTTAGCTTTCAGGTGGTCCTTCTGAGGAAACTTTAAGAGCTATAAAAGAAAACTCTTTGCAAAGAACATGGCATGATTCAAAGAAAAATAAATAAATAAACAAAAGAATACGGCATGATTTAAATGTATGATTATTTTTGTCATCCTTTGATCAGTGCTGTCCAATAGAAATAAAATGTAATCTGCATGTGTAATTTAACATTTTCTGGTAAGCATGTAAAAAGTTTTTTGTTGTTGTTGTTTTGTTTTTTTTAAAAAAAGCAAATCCAGATTTCTCATCCTGCCTTTCACAATCCTATGGAACTTGGGTTCCGTCTACCTCTCCACACTCCCCTCATCCCACCCTCACCTTTCATCCTCCTCCAGCCACATAGGCCTCTGTTAGACCCCTGAACTCACCAAGCTCATTCCTACCTTAGAGCCTTTATCCAGCTGATTATGGCTTCTCACTTACTGTTGAGTGTCTATGCCCCTCATGCAAAGTCAGGCTCCCCAGGAGCAGGACACATACCTGTCTTGTTCAGTACTATATACCCAGCACCAGAAGAGTGCCTGGCATGGGGTCGGTTGATTAGAAAGTATTAAATGAATGAATGGAGCCAAACCAGGTGACCCTAGTGGRCAGGCACTTACACTCTTGAGTAAATATACCATATGTACTTACTGAGTRCCTACTGTGTGCTAGGTCCTGTGCTTTGTCCCAGACAGAAACTATCTAGATATATATGGAGTAATCATCTCCAACTCTCCAGAAACACCCAGATAGGGTTGTTCTGAAGCGAGTGAACTATCAAGAAGTGACTATTGAGTCACACAGGGTCCTCACTAGGTTGGGTGGGCTCCTTATGATCTGAAATGCAATCCTGTGTTTTCCATGGGGTCAGAGAATGACTTTGGAGCCCCCAATTCCTCCGGCCCTCTGAATGAGGATCATGCCGCTGCCCATCTCTGTGTGATACACCCCCAGCCCATCACCACAACCACTAAGCAGTGGCCGCTGGCTCAGTGCACAGTCTTGCACCAGAACTCAGTCAGAAAATGAGGTGGCAGAGTGAGCACTGCTCCTTCCACCAGGTGTCACCCTCCCCCTCCCCTATCTGGCTGGAAGTGAGGTGGCCCATGGTGGTTGGGACAGGGGATTCCCTGCTGTCAGAATTGCAAGAAAGGTCAACACACTTTCGAACCTGTGAAGAGCTCTCTGTGCCCCAGTTCACAAAAAGGAGCAGGGGGTTAGCTAGAGGTCACCCTAGACCATGAATTTAGATTACCAGGTTAAAAAACAGAATTTGGAGCAAAGCCAGCTGCCCAGATGTGTTGTCTGTCGCCAGTTGTTGAGCTGTACGCTTACAACATGTGCACTTTTCTATGAGAAAGACACCCGGGAGCCTGTTAAAAATCACCCTCCTGACTATCCTCACGGGTTCTGCTTTAGAATGCTCTGGATATGCCCCGGGCATCCACTGAAGTTTTGAGGCTCCCATGTGATTCACATCAGCATCTGGGTTTAAGCACTGAGATAAGGCGTGTCTGGGAACTCTGTAGTAGATGCAAGAGGGCAGGGTGCAGGGCAGGGAAGGGTGCTGAGGCAGGACTCCAATCTCACCTAGAAAAATGAAGTGTCTGAAAATCCAACAGATTGGTAGATTCAGCRCTCATAAAATGTCTGGGTGAAAAAAATAAAAGAAAGATAAAAAACAAACAAAACAAAAGCTAGCATTTTAAAATGTGAGAAGCAGGTGACTGGCGGGCAGGGGTGGGGGGTTGGAATATTGTAGCCCAAAGGTTAATAGCCTTAATATTTCTAAAGAGCTCTTAGAAATCAATAAAAAGATGAGCACTCAATAGAAAAACAGACTGCAGACATGAACAGGCAATTCCAGAAGAAGCAATACAATGGACCAATACACTTATGAAAAATGTTCAGCCTCATCAGTAATCAAATAAATGCAAATTACAACAACAAAGAGACGTTATCTTTTGCTTAGCTAATTGGCAGAGATGAAAGATATGATAATACCTCCTGGTGGTGAGGCTGTGGAAAAACAGGCCCGTCATTCACTGGGGGAGTGCAGACTGGAGCAGCGTTTCCAGAGGGCAATTTGGCAGTTCATGAAGCTGAAAAGACTATATACTCTTAGACGCAGCAAGCCACTTTTAGGAAGGTGGCCTTAGGAAAGAATTGTGGATAATAACAATAATAACAGCTGACCTTTACTGAATGCTCTGGGCATGCCAGGCTGTGTGTGCATTGTCTTCTACTCCTYACAGCCATCATCCCACGAGGTAGGAGCTATTATTTATTACCTGTATTTTATAGATGAGGAAACTGAGGTGTAGAAGTAATAAGTCAATGACCTAAGGACACAAAACTAATGAGTAGCAACACCTGGATTGGAACACAGGCAGTGTGGGTCCACTCTTACAGCTGTGTCCGTTGGTCGAGCAAGGAGATGAAGCCACAAGGATGTTCCTCTGGGGATATTGGTGAGGACATGTTGACTGCCTGACAACAGGATTCAGTTGCGTAAATTTTGATACAGCTGCACAGGAATATTATGCAAGGATGAAAAATGATTTGGTGGAAATATGTGTGTGAGTTCCAGGGTTTTATTTTTTCATATATGCTTAGGAGATCTTTGAAAGGATATCAAAGGAACTGGTAAAATTAGTTGCCTCCTGGAAGAGCAACTGAATATCTACTCTGAACCTAGAGGGGCAGGGTATGGCTCAGTTTTAGATACTCTTTTACAGTTCTTAAATTTTGAATTGTGAATATATTATCTATTAAAATATATATTATGTCTATAAATATATGCACAGAGAAGTTATGTTACAGAACTTGTTCCACATAATTTTATTTCCTTGAAATGCTGTTAAGGGATCCAAGAAAAAAGTTTCAAGTTCCTTACTTAGATAATCTCACTGAAGTCAATAAAGACACTTCATTAGCCAAGTTCATCCCATGTTCCTCACAGAACATTTTTTCCTCAAGTAATGTCTATTTTCATCTCTTCAGATACTTGTGTCTCATAGAATTCAGTTTGGAAAATGTTATTATTAGTATTTAACAGCAAGGTGAAAGGATTACATTGTTTTCTTAAATGAGAGAAATGTGTTATTGGCCCTGATCCCATTTTGTTTAAAATTGTGTGTGTGTGTGTGTGTGTGTGTGTGTGTGTGTGTGTGTTCATTCTGAGTACTGGGATAATGGATGATTTTGTTTACTTCTTTTTACTCTACTGTTTTTTAATTTTCTAAAATGAACAAAATTATTTCACAAGAATCATTGCTTAAGCCATTCTTTTTTGTGGTATTGGGTGTTGAACCCAGGTCCTCACACACCCTAGGCAAGCGCTCTAGGCTATACCACTGAACTATGTCCCCTGCCCTAAGGAACATATTTTTAAACGTTTTCTTTTGAAGTTCCCTCTGGCCCTGGCACCTCATGCCCATTGACTTCGTACTGACAAGCAACAGCTCAGGGTTAAGTTCAAGGAGGTGCCTCCTACCTCTCACCGGCCCTCTCTGCCTGCCTTCCTTCAGAACCAACTCTGGCCCTTTGTCAGAACTCTGAGCTACCAAGAAAAGGACCAATGACCTAGACAGGGCCAGTCAGTCTCCAGACACTTCCTGGCCCTCGAAGACCCTCCCTTCTGCTATTGAAAAAATTTGAACCAGGGTCTCCAATCCTCAAAGAGAGATGAGGCTGCAAAAGTCGACACTAGCCTGCTCCCAGCCCGGCGCATCACAGATTCAGACACCGAGGCTTTGGTTCCAACTCTGTGACTTCCTAGCTATGTGGCTTTGGGTCAAGTTTCTGAACCTCTGAGTCTCCTCTTTACCATCAATGTCAGTATGACACTTGTCTCACAGAGCTCAGGGACCAAATAAGAGTATGCACGGAAGTGCTGCATGTCCTATAAAGGGCGACACTGATAGAATTTGTTATCTCTGCAGGGAGCACTGGCTGGCTTGCCCTCACCTACCTCAGAGCAGGGCATCTTTTTTCCCAGTTTTATTTTTAAGGCAGTAGGGAGAGGAGCAAGGAGGCAAACCACTGGGCATGTGGAAACAGAATGTGTTTAAGAATAAGGGGGATTGGTGGCTCAGTGGTAGAGCGCTTGCCTAGCATGTGTGAGGCACTGGGTTCAATTCTCAGCACCACATAAAAAAATAAAATAAAGATAGTGTGTCCAACTACAACTAAAATACATATTTAAAGAAAAAAAGGATAATGGGGGAAGCCTCTCAGCTTGGTGCTTACGGCTTTGCATCCTCGGTCGACCTGTGCCCACCAGCACAGTCCATGCCTAGTCACCCCACTCCTCCTTACCCATTTGCCAGCCCGTCCCAGTGGACCACACAGGATCTCCCACAGTGCTGCCTCCGCCAGACTTCCCTCTCCACATCTTCCAAAGCTCTTAGCTTAGGGAACCCCATTCCCAGCACAAGGATGACTCCTCTGGGCTCCATTGTTATTAGATTACCAAGACCCATGCTGTGATAGCAAAACCAGGTTCCTCGGCTAGGCTGGACTTCCTGGGAGTGCTATCCAAGTCTGTCATCTTGGCCTGCCTGTGTCCTCTGGGACAGACTTAGGGCTTAGGGACAGTAGAGATCATGAGCCCTGGGGCCATGATCTGGGTTGAACCCCAGTCCTTAGGGAAGTGACTTTACTCTTCTGAACCTCAGTTTTCCCATGTACAAATGGGTTTAAATACTTCAGTAAGCTCATGGGGTTATTGTGAAGATTTTATAAGCTCACATAAAGCTCTTAGTACCATCCCAAGTATGAAGGAAGCYGATCTCACTGCAGACTCTAAATGCAGGCAAATTGAGCTAAGCAATGACAGCAGGAGGGGTGACTTCCAGGCTCACCCTCCCCTCCCAGTCCGAGCCCCCGTCGGGAGCCCTTAACTGCTTGTGCTTGGTGCTGCCTCCACCACCACCACACTCACGCGCTTGCCTTGTACCCCACAGCCACCCGGCCCAAGCTGAAGAAGATGAAGAGCCAAACAGCACAGGTGGGCGAGAAGCAGTCACTGAAGTGTGAGGCAGCAGCCGGGAACCCCCAGCCCTCCTACCGCTGGTTCAAGGATGGCAAGGAGCTCAACCGCAGCCGAGACATCCGCATCAAATATGGCAATGGCAGGTGAGCAACATCAGCCCCACCCTCTGTCCCCTCCTTCTAAGTAGGAGGGGCTGAGCTGGCGGAGCTCAGGGATGTGCCCCAGACCCAGCATGGAGCCAGTCCCAGCCCCTCTCTCTGTTTCCCTTCCTTGCCACCCCCAGCCCCTCTCCTTGCAGTCTGGGTGGGCCCTTCTGGTGATGCTGAGTGGGTGAATTGCACACCGCAGACAAGAATTAAGCAACCAATGTCTCTGGATGGTTGGAGGCAATTTGATTGTCAAGGTCAGCTTTAAATGTAGAAGTCCTTGCTTATCCCAAAAATTTCTCAAAAGACACAGCAYAGTGTCCAAAAGCCCCCAAATCTGGTAATTTGGGGTGAAAGGCCCTGCTTCCAGAAAGCCTGTGGGAGGTCACACAAGATGAGTGGCTGGTCTCTAAGCTCAGTTAGCTATCCCTTGTCAGAGAGCTTGGTAAGGAGAAAGGGTTTGAATGGTGTGAGGGGAGTCTGAGCTTCCTATAATATAAGAATTTTCTTTAATCTTCCATCAGCGCTCCAGGGGATGGACTCAGAAGCTCCCCAAGTATCGGGCTGGGATTTAGTTTCTCATCCTTCTTGGGTTGGTCAGGCAGGGGACTTTGGGCACCAAGGGAGCCAGGATTCCATGAGCAGCCCCCTCGTCTTTCTGCAGGCTAAACGGATTTTCCGCCTGACCTTGCTCTGTCAACCCTCTTAGCTAAGGAGCACCCCAGCCTTCTCTGCCCCCACCTGCAGAGGAGCTTGTAACTTACTCCCTTCCTGGCTGTCATTTTTCTCCTCAACCCCCACCACATGCAAATGAAAAGGATTTTAGAGAATGTCCAGCTTCACCCACAACAGAAAGTGATGGAAGGAAAGCCTGGGCTCAGGCCACACCTGGTTTGCTGTGTGGCCTGGTATGCTTGCGTCCTCTGGGCCTCAGTGTTGGGAACCTGTGCAAGAGGTGGGAAGGGCACCACCAGATAGGCTCTGACTGTCCCATTCTCTGACTCTCCTTCCAAGAACAGAGGCAAAGATAGAACTGGTCACCTCAGAAAGTGGCCTAGGCAGAAAAGCATTTTAAAGACTGTCCAACCTGGCCCATAATAGAAAGTGATGGAAAGAAAGCCCAGGCTCAGGCCATACCTGATGTAATTGAAGAGAGGTTTGGTTTAGATCAAAGGTTTCTGTCTGACAGAATGTCACTTCCTAAGAAAACTGTGGTGGCTAGGGAAGGGGTGGAGGGTGTTCCCGTGTGTCCCCAGTCTACAGTGTTGTCAAGAAATTCAGGCCACCCACTAGCTCACCTGAGGTCACCCCACCCTCTGCCCACTGCCAAGAGTGACTCCAAGCTAGAGAGGAGAATGAACAGATGTCTTGAAGCTGGAGCTGGTAGGACCCTGTCTCCCTCCCATCCTCTCTGTCTAGAAAATRGCCTCTCCCCTACTTCACTGAGAGCAGAAGTCAAGACAGTGCTCATCCTCACCCTCCACATTACTCCCAAGCTCACCCCCCACTGCCCATCCCCAGACCCTCTACCTGACCCCACCCCATGCTGGCCCCAGGCTCCCTTGCGCACATGCACACTCGCCCCGGCCCCACTAGCTGCCTCCTCCCTCTGGTAACTTCAGCCTTTCTGTCCCTGCAAACTCACTACTGTCACTTCTCTTCTGAAGGCTTTCCTGCTGGGGTGCTGTCTCCTCATCCTCCTCCAACTGTTGCCCCATCTCTCTTTTTCCCTCCACCACCGAGAGCAGTCGCCGTCCTGCTGGAGTCTGACTTCTCCGTGTGTCCCCAGCCTCTCCATGGCTGAGGCCCTTGAGAGACCCCACTGACCTCTGGGCTCCCTAACCCCGGCCTCCAGGCCTCCCGGCAGCCCTGACACAGGCCATCTGCTCCCTTCACCCTCTGGGCTCCCTCTGTTCCTCCTGGGAGTCTGACCACTGAGCTGCCATGATGCTGGCTTTCCTGTATGTTGGGCTTCTCTCCCCCACCTCTCCCTCTGGAGACAGAGGCCCCAAGCCTCCATCTCCAGTCTTGATGGCTTTTTCTCAAGAGTTCCAGACCCAGGCCACCAGCTCAGCATTAGACACCCCCTCTGAGTCACCTACAGGTGTTTCAATTCCAAACGCCCCAAGCCAGCCTCGCTAACCTGGCCTCTCCAGCCCAGCCTCTGCTTCCTGTGCTCCCTCTCAGCTGTGCACACCCAGTCTGCCTGCTGCCCATCAGCTGCCCTCTTTGCCATCCCTGCAGGAAGTCCAGATCTCTGGGGGGGGGCGCCCTCTTCCCTTCCTGTGCATTTCTTTCCTGGCTTCTCTGCCTCCAGCTGCTTTTCGGCCACTCTCCACCCTCCGGGCTGCAGGCCTGCTGTGAAATCATTGCTGTGTGCCATGTGCACACCTTATCCACTATGTGCCAGGCACCCTGCTAGAGGCTTGGGATACACTGGTGAAAGAAACAACATGGGCCCAGCTTCCAGTGTAGACCCGGRTAAAATCTCCTTCCTTTCTTCATGAAAAAAAATGGGCCTTAAACACCCAGTTTTGGAGGTCCACAGACCCCCCGTGAGTGCYTACAGGGGATGATCTTTAACAGGAACACCTGTGATTGCTCATTTGTTACTTCCTGGATCAGGAGAACCTGCAACATGATGGGTACAGCCTTAAGGCTCTTCAGAGCCTTCTGTCTGCATATCACTCTCCCCCTGTTTCCTGACCCGCTGCTCTCCTRACCCCTGGTCTTTACTTTCATGACACTGGTCTGTTCCCTGTGGTTGTCCCTTCTGTTCCTGGCAAAGTTCTCCAAGGTCCAGCTTAAATGTCATGTCTCAGGGACATGTGCCCAAGCCCTCCAACTCTTGTCTCTTCCAACAGTGCCTTAGATATGGCTTCATTGCATTGTGGAGGGATCTGTCACTGCTAATGTGAGAGAGACTCAAAGACTAGCCCCCCTTCACCCATTCTCCCCTGTGGACCTGGTACAGATCTAAGTTCAGTGTTGAATTGATGAGAATCCTGTGCTGGGCCTCACCTCCTGGGCGTGGGACCCACTGTGGTTGGGCAGGAGGCCTTTGGGTTGCTCACCCTCTGAACCTGATGCTTCCTGGGTAAGCCTCAGTTTCATCTGACAAATGGGTGACCCAGTCCAGCCTGGTGAGGTCTTCCCCTGCGTATAGTAGGCCCCAGACTCTGAAGTGTGCCCCGAGCCCCCACCTGTCAGAGCCTTATCCTTTGTRCTATTCTGAACAATCCTTGAGTCACCTGCCCTGCCTCTAGGATCCCAGAAGTGAGTCGCAAGTGGTGGAAAAGTGCACTGTAATTGGGAACTTCTGATTTCCTGTTACCAAGGGCTCCTCAGGAGGATTCTGATATTGCTGCTGCCACCTCTGCACGCTACCCAGCCCCCTACTATACACATCTTACCTAGCATAGGGGCCAGGGACAGGAGGCTTCTTTCTGGAAAGCCCTTCTCTGTCCTCCCKGCCTGCCCTGCAGTAGCCTCCACAGCCCTCCTCGCATATGCTCCACCTGCCCAGGCTGTGCTCGGTCTTGGTGTCTCTGTTGGGCTGCAGAGACCTCCTCCCCATTGGTACTGTCTGTCTCTGTGCCACCACACTGCAGTATCTGACCCAGCCTTCCTGTGCCAGGAAAAAACTGCCCCCTCAAGCCCTGGGCGCAGGGCCCTCCCCTGCAGAACCGCGTGTTCCCTTATTTATGAGGGGCAGGCTAGAACAGGCCCCTCCGGCTGGCAGGGGGGAGGCGCTGAGGAAAATGTGCAGCCGCCCAGATCCCATTCCTGCCAGCAGAGAACCACCTGGGGAGGGTGGGGATGGGCACCCTTCTCGGGGCAGACCTGGGTCAGCACGGTGATGGGGCACCAGGAACAGATAGCATCCTACTGCCGGGAAAGCCAGAGAGACTGTGAGTCCTTAGGGACGGCAGCTGGAGCTCACAGCAAGGACAGAGTATAGTGGTCCCAGCAACTGCCAGGCCTGGGAGACCCACCGAGCCCTCCTTCTCATCCCACCCAGAGTCTCTGTGTCTCTGGAGCCCACCTCCCTGAGAGCCATGTGTCCCCAGTAAACCAAGATGCCTGCAGCTGGCAAACCCGGAGAGTTGTTATCACCCCTTTTTCATTCTTCTAAGGGGCAGGGCTCTCCCGGAACCCTTCCTTCAAGTTCCAGCTTTCCCCCCTCAAATGCCCTGAGCATCACTCGGCCTTGTCCTGCTACATATGATGTCATGCAAGGGAAACTCCCTTGAATGTGACTGTGAGTGACAAAGAGGGTCTGGCTCTTAGTCCCCTCAGGTGATCCGTGCCCTCCTTGTCCAGTGCCTGGAAGTGAGAGCAGCCTCATCCCAGGGAAGCTGGGCTCTGTGGTGTCTAATTAGGCTAGAGCAGGGAAGGAGAAGCCTTCTCAGTCAGARGGGCCTCCGGGGCTCTACTTAATGAAGGGAACAAACTTTAATTGACAGAAGAGGGTTGTGGACAGGCACCAGGCCAAGGAGACAAAGACTTGCTCGAGCCAGGAAGGGTAGGGTATAGTCCAGCAGCTGTCACCACACTAGTGAGGACATCATCACAGCAATAGGCTCTGTTGACAAGACTGCTTTGCAGCACCTTCGTTTGGGAGTCTTGGGGTGAGGATATCTGGGAAGAGGTCTACCTTCAGAAGAAAGCAAGTCCAGGAAAGAGGTCCCTAAAAGCATAGGCCAAGGTAGGGACTGTGGGCCAGTTTGCATCTCTATGGGCAAGCCTCTCTGTTCACCTGCCCTTGCCCTCCTTACCCCAACAGTGTCCTGGCTCTGTTTTGATCCCTGGGGTAGGGCAGTGACATCTCTACTACAGCTCTACTACACCTTGTCCCGTGAGCCATTATCCCTCCAATCCACTACAAATATTCTGGGAATCTGTGTTTTTTGTTTATTTGTTTGTTTTGTTTTTTAACCAATCACTAAAAAGAAGAGGAGACAACATCATGTAAAGACATTTCCATGCTACTTCTTGCTTCCCCCTGGGGTCCAGGTTGGGACCTGGGCTTTTTTCAGAGCTCTTGCTAGCCYCTGAGAATACTGGGGCAGAGGGAAGGATGGGAACTGGGAACAGACATTTGCAGAGCCTAGGCATGCTGGGATAGGTGCAGGGAAGCTCTGAGAAGGGAGGAGAGGTTTGACCAGAACTTCAGAAAGAGGGGACCCAGGGCTAGGTACACTGCAGTCACAGCACTAGGGGCGGGGCATGCAGGGACTGRATGAAGAAGGGGCCTAGCCCCAACTTCAGATGCCCAAGATGCCGCATGTCTCCACTAGCTACAGCACCTCTGCCTTTACCTTGCTGGGTGACCTTGGGCAAGTCAGGAAGCCCTCTAGGATTTAACTTTCCCATCTATAGGAAGAGACACCCAGTTCAGCCCTGGGATCAAGTCCAAGATCTTTTTGTTGCTTGAAGTACAAGTTCCTGGCACACAAAGGCACTCAGTAAGCATTTGTCAAATGAATTAATAAATGAAACAAAAGCTCCTTGGAGAGGTCACAGAGTGCCCCTTAGTGGCAGGGCTGATTGGAAGGCAGGAGAAAACCACAGGTTTGGACTGGGATCTGGGCACAGTTGTCAACTGATCCTCTCAGAATGGTGGCTCTCCCAGGTATCTGGGTGTCTGAGTCCACTTTCCACTGCTATAACGAAGGGCCACAGACTGGGTAATTTATGAGCAATAGAAATGTTATTTGCTCACAGTTCTAGAGGAGTCAAAAATTCAGAAGTTACATCTGGTAATGGCCTTCTTGCTTCACYGTAACACGACAGAAGGCGTCACATGGTGAGAGAGGATGAGGGGACTCAACTTGCTTTTATAACAAACCCATTCCCACGAAATCAACGTTAAGCCACTCATGATGGAGCACTTGTGACATTAACCCCCCATTAGGCCCCACCTCCCCACACCATCGCTTTGGGGATTAATGAGCTTTGGGAACACATTTAAACCATTGCTCTGGGAATGGGTCCTATGTATCCAGCGTGACAAGCAGCCATTTCTAAGGAAGGTTAAAGCTGCTGAGAATGAAGATGTAGTCATGTGACTTCCTAAGGGGCCTGGCTCTCTGCCCCCAGAAAAATGTTACAAAAAAGGCCCAGCCTTGGGAAAATAGACATGAGAATTCATAGATTTAGAACATGTGTGTAGCCATTAGCCCCAGCCTGGTTTGTCCTGAGGGCCCCAGTCTGCCTCCAGTTCCAGGGCTTCAGCATTCCTCTGGACCCCAGGAACGGCCAGCCTGAGGGTATCTACTTTCCAGCCAACCTGCAAGGCCACTGTGGGTCTGTGGGGAGAGGTGACTGTCGGACGACTGCTGGGGAGCATCGTTGTCGCCGCTTCCCCCCAGCTCACGCCTCTCCCCTCTTTTCCCCCTCCCTAACCAGAAAGAACTCACGACTACAGTTCAACAAGGTGAAGGTTGAGGACGCTGGGGAGTATGTTTGCGAGGCTGAGAACATCCTGGGGAAGGACACCGTCCGGGGCCGGCTCTACGTCAACAGCGGTAGGTGGCCCCTTGAGGATGGGAAGGGTCCCTGAGGGCTTTGGCAGGGTGGATCAGTTGCCCCCCAGCCTTCAGGAGGCCCACACATGCTCCATCCTGCACTCGACTCCCCTCCCTTCTGCCACGGCCATATCAAACCCCAGATCTCAGCCGATTCAGAGAAATGCAGTCGAAGCATAAATGTTTAGCTTTGTTATCTGGGGCTGGAAGAGCCGCCAACTCTCATTTTAAATACCCTGAAAACTAAATATTTTGAAATCAAGAGGTGGGGGTGGAGGGAAGAATATTTTTAGAAGGCAATTATGGGAAGCTGGGTTGCCCAGAGCGGGGCTGGGGGAGAGGCAGGCCCCGGGCGCTGCCAGCTGCTGGCCTGTGGATGCTGCTTTGCCGGCACCTGAGTGCAGGAGGTCATCTCCACGGGGCCAGGGCGGGAGGACTGAAGGCTTGGATCCCCTGAGATAGCCTCTTTGGAGATGGCAGATTCTCCCACCAGACATCCTCTCTCCTCCAAGACTACATGGTCAGGACCTCACAGTGCTCCTGAGCTTCTCTCTGCAGTGGCAGATCCAGCTGCAGAGCAGAGGGTGCCTTCCTGCTGGGCTGTCCTTTCCCTTGACTGGAAAGGCACCTTTCTTCTCTACCAATGCTTCCTGTCCTCATGCAGTGCCCTCCACTCTAACCCCAGTGCACCAAATCCCACAAAGAGCCTTCCTGCTCCCAGCACCCCCAGGCGGAGCATGCCATTCAGACACCTATTTATTGGGATTTGCTTTCAGTCATGCCTGTCACAGAATCTAATCCTGTATTTATTGTCACCTGTTTTCCACCAGACTTCCAATACTCCCAAACCCTTCGTTACCTAAAAGAGAACTTGTAACGTTCCCCGGCCCATGGCCCTCAGATGATAACCTAGCCAAGACCCTCTCTGCCCTGCCCTGTTGAGGGACAGCCCTGTTCTCCCAGCCTCTTGGGCTCCTTGCCAYTATCCAGTCTGGATATTTCTCATAACTAGCCCTCCACTCTAAGCCCACCTCAGGGGCAACCCTGGCACAAGTTTCATCCCTAATCACTTGTATCAGAACAGTGGCCTTTTTAACACACATTCATTCAACCATGTCCCCAGCCTGGGAGCCACAGGCCAGGGACTCACCCATTTGGCCCATGATCTTCCTCTGCAGTCTCTCCCCTTGCCATGCCATCCTTATTCCTTCTCCCACACCAGCTCTCCCCGGCAGCCTTCCTCCTAAGACCACCCCAACCTACTGTAGTGTCCCTCCCAGCTCGGGCCCCAGAGGCCCAGTAGTATCTTTTGAATTCAGATCTTAGATCATTCCTCAGGTCCCATACTGTTGCTGAACTTTCTCTGTGTGCACTCCAGTGGAGGGTGAGCCTCAGGGATGGGGATGACAAGGAYAAAAGAAGTTACAATGACAACTACTATGTACCAAGCCAGACTGCACATTATTTCATGAACCCTGACTCAGGCCCAGGATGTATTTTATAGGTTATGAGAAGCTCAAAGAGGCTAAACATTTTGTCCAAAGTCAAACAGCTAGTTAATGATAGAGCTGTACAATGTAAAATTCAAGGCAAACTTAGCCATGGAGCTCCATGGGGGGTGAATCTAGCCTGTTTACCACTCTGGCCCCGGGGCCTGGCACAGTGCCTGACTCCTGGTAGGTACCCGGTAAATGTTATATTAAAGAACTTACAACCTGCTTCAAGGCCTTCACTGCCTTCTCCATGTCCCAAGCCAGGCAGGGTAGCAGTAGGGGTATTTGCATCTCCACTTCTCAACCTGCCCCAAGCCTGGGGCGAGAGAGTGTCTAGCACCTGCCACCTGTCATAGTGAGCAGACATCCACAGATCCACCTTGGACTTGAAGTCTCCTGTTTTATTAGTCAAGACTTTCTTGGTTAAAACTGACACGAATTCAAGTTAAACCTACCTTAAGGAATTCATTTATTGGCTTGTAAAACTGGGAAGTCCAAGAGGTCAAACTGGCCTCAGAAATGAGAGTCTAAGAACAAAGAGGATGGGTCAGGACACTCTCCCTCTGTGTGTCGGCCTCATTCTTTCCAGTTCTGAAATAGCTTCTCCCACGTTGGGGGAATGGAGTGGGAAGAGGAGGCCGTGGCCACAGACAGCTCCAGGCTTACCTCATCCCAGCCCGCCACCTCGGTCTCTGGTCCACACATAGATCACGAGGATGGACTCTGATTGACCCTGATTAGGTCATGTGCCCACTGGCCCTGCCACTTGTTCAGGCTGGAGGGCGCCGTCTTTGCCAGGCTTGTCTGTGTATGCAGGGGGGYTCCTGAGAGGCAGAGTGCCCGAACCATGGCCCTGCCATACCACATGGAGAAGCGTTCCCTCAAGGGGTGCTCTTCGTGGAGAAAGAAGGTAGGGTTGCCATACAGAAAGTCACAGCCATGCCTGCTCTGCCACACTGGGCTTGAGACCTGAGGTTGGGAGGGTTGGGAGGGCTCTCAATTCCTTCCTGCAATGGGTCATGCTGTGATCCTTTGCAGAACCAGAGAGTGGAGCCTTTGGGCTGGGCCTGGAGGGCAGAACTGGAATCCAGTTGCCCATAGGGTTCCTTGCCTCAGTGCCTGTAGCCTGGCGGGAGGGACGCAGGGCAGGGCAGYGGAGAGTGGAGAGATTTGATCTAGTCCCAGCTCTGTGTCATTCAACCCAGAGCATGTTGCCCAACCTCCCTAGTCTTCAGTTTTCCCCTCCTGAGGCTGATCTATAAGCCTCTTCCCCCTAAAATTATGAGATTCCTAGTGATCTTCAGGCTGATGTCCTGTGCACCTAACCCACATGCAGGCGGAGTACGCACCTCTTCTGCTGCCCTGTGCAGCCCATGCAGGCAAGAGCCTGCTCTTCATGTGGGGAGCTGAACAGGGCCAGTGCAGGTGACCAGAAGACTGGGGACATTTTCACAGGCAGAGATGCCTGGCTCCTTGTTTATCCACAGAACCCAGGAGACCTGCAGCAACCACACCCTGAGGAGGGGGCGGAGATCGGGTATAGGCCCTGCCTGCCCCCCTCTGACTCATCCCTAGGTGGGTTGGCTTGGCCCTCCCAGGCCCCAGGGCAGCCAAAGCTACAGGGGCGGGGCATCAGGAGCTGCAGGCTGCGCAAGGGACATCACTCTGGCTCTTGGAGGGCTCCTGCTCCTTTCTGGTGGAGCCTAATACTTCTTCCCCAAACCAGAGCAGGCCCTCGTCATAACTCTGCCAGCTCACAAGAGGTTTCCGACCTTCCCAAGCTGCTGGCAGGAAGGAGGAGTTAGCAGAAGTTTGTGGAAATTTCAAAAAATTAATCAGCCACTTCTGAGAAACCAGTGTCCATGTCTCAGGTGAAAGGGATCTCAGAGACATCCTGGGGTAGCCATTCTAGGTCCAGGATATCAGACTTTGCCCCAGAGGACAGGCAGGTTTGAAGTGGGGTATTACAGGACCATGGAAGTCCTGCAGAGACCCAGGCTTGTCCTCTAGCTGGGGACAAAAGGCGAGCTGTGTACTCTCACTTGCACATTCARCACGCTCTGCTGTGAGCTCTGAGGAGTTCAGTCTTGGCCCCCAGTCAAGTCCTTCACAAGGCAGGAAGCTAAAAGCTGGGCTCAAAAGCATCTGCCTTTTAGAACAGGGCAGGGAGAAGACAGTCCACCGCACCAAAGGGCAGCGGGCTACCGTGAGAAGAGAACCTAGACGTATCAAGAGGTGCTAGGTCTGGGTCTCAAAAGAGAAGCAAAGATTTTTCTATGAACAAGGGAGAAAAGTAGCTGCTGCAGCAACAGGCAATGGGGAGATGGCTCCCCAGAACCAGCTGCTTCTCCACCCTGCTCCTGCTTAGTCTTTGAAGGAAGGCCCTGAAGAACCCACCCATACCAAGTCACTAATGGCTGATAATGACTTCCAGGGTTTGTCCCTTCTAGAAATTCTTTAAAATTAATTTTTGAGGCATAATTTACATTCCATAAAATTCACCCTTTTAAATAAGTATACAATTTGGTGGTTTTTACCCAGTCACCAAGTTATGAAACCATCACCACAAATTCCACAATATCTTCATCACCCCAAAAGGAAACCCATACCTATTAGCATTGCTCCCTTCCTCTGGCCCCTGGCAACCATTAATCTACTTTATGTCCCCATGGGTTTACTTATTGTACACATTTTATACAAATAGATTTATATAATATGTGGCCTTTTTGCCTGGCTTCTTCTAGTTCATGTAATGTTTTTTTAAGGTCCAGCCACATTATAGTATGAATTAGTACTTTGTTACTTTTTATGGCTAAATCATGTTCCACTGTATGAATGTCCCACATTTTATTTATCCATTCATTAGTTTGGATTATTAAGTCACTTGGATTGTTTCCATGTTTGGGCTATTATGCATATTGTTGCTCTGGACATTCATGGACAAGTTTGTGTATGCACATAGGTTTTTAGAACTCCTGGAGCATATGGTAATTCTGTTTAATTTTTTTTAGGAACTATTGGACTACTTTTCAAAGCAGCCACATCGTTTTACATTCCCACCAGCAATGCACGAACTACCAATTTCTCCACAAACTCACCACCACTTGTTATTATCCCTCTGTTTTCTCACCTTCCTAGCGGATGTGAAGTGGCATCTCATTGTGGCTTTAATTTCATTTCCCTAATGACCTCTCAGGAATATTTACATTTAAAACCTACAGAAAAGCTATCATCAGCCAGGGATACCAGACTAGTCCCTGGGCTGGCAACAGAAGGCACTTTTCTCCAAAGAATCAGATATTATTTGCTCATTCATTGATTCAGTAAATATTTGTTAAGCACCTATTATGTGCCCAGAACTCTGCTAGATGTTGTGGTTCAGTGAAACAGGAGAGATGTCTTTCTGCCCTAAGGGAGCTTACATTCTATTGAAGGAGCTAATAATGGCATGCCTCATCATTTAATTAGGTTAGAATAAGTACTACAAGCAGAAATAGATGAAGCAAATAGGAAAAATCAGGAAGGAGCCTGACAACTGGGGAAGGTGAGGGAGGCCAGAGGAGTCTGATATTGGGAACGTCCTGGGCAGGAGGACTCCTGGCTTATTATCCTTATTATCCTTGCCCAGATTCTACCTGGGAAGGAGTTGGGGCTTTATCCTGAGTACAAAGGGAAGCCATTGGAGAACTTCCATCATGGAACTTACATATTTTGAAAGACCATATTTTAAAGACCACTGTGGCAGCTGCCAAGCAAAAAAGTTAGAGATGAAGRCAGGAAGGTGGAGATGAGGGTAGGAAGACCAGTGAGGGGATGACATGTGGTCACCCAAGGAAGAGATACGCCTGGACTAGAAGAGGAATTGGGGAGACAGGCATGGAGCCTCTTGAGGAGTTAGAAATAGTGAACCTTGGGGATGAGAGGTAGTGGGGAATAAAAGAGAAATATAAGATGCCCTCTAGGACTTGGGTGTGTGCCATTTGGTTACTGACAGAGGGAAAGGTAGAGACGATGGTTGGGATAGATGACTAGGAGCTCAGTTTGGGACATGTTGAGTTTCGGGTGGTTGTGAGCCATTCAAGTTCAAGTGTCAARGGAGCAGTTAGGGAGCCAGGGGCAGTGCACGTGCCTACAATCCCAGTTGCTAGGAAGGCTAAGGCAGGAGGATCTCAAGTTTGAGGCCAATCTCAGCAACTTAGACCCTGTCTCAAAAATACTTTTTTTAAAAGGGCTGGGGATGTAGAGCATCCTTGGGTTAAATCTACTACTGGAAAAAAAAGGGGATAGGGGGAGCAATTAAACCTTCCCATTGAGAATCCATGTCACCTTTGATTCTCCACACATGGGAGGACTGGGTTAGAAATACAGATACACTGACGGGGGAGTCTAGACCTGTTGCCTTGGGACATGTGTGTGCCAGCACAGCCTGCTGGTGCCGTGGTGTGCATGCACTCCTGCAGCATGCACATCTCCCTGGAGTGTGGCTTCACCCACAACAAGAGTTGGCCTGTAGTGACTCAGGAAGGTCCTGTCCCTAGAAAGTGGCCTTTCTGAGGTGGGAAGACCTGCAGTCATCATTCTGCCACACTTTCTATGACCAGCCCTCCACTTTGTCCTCCCTTTTCACCTTTCTGGGTCCTCGGCCTCATCTCCATGCTGATGTGGTCTTGGCAGCCAGGGCTCCATGTACCACAGCTCAGGGGTCCATTTTTCTTCAGTTGTCATCTGTGTCCCAAGGCCTCCATGAGCGCAGGCATGTATGTGTGACAAGCCCAAATGTGCAGCTGCGGTCCCTGCCAGCAACCTCACTGCTGTCCACTGCTCCCTCAGCTTGGGAGGAAAAACAATGAGGGCACAGCAACTGTCAGTCTCTGCCACCCATGGCTGCAGAGGGACCCATGCTGGGCCTGGCAGGCCCAGGCTGAGATTTCTCTGGCTTAGCCAAGGCCCCCCGGAGGACCCAGGCCTGTGGTCCACATTGTTTTTGCATCCATCTGCTCCAGGCAAGACTTGGTGCTGACGTCTTCTTTCGCAGGGGACTGGGTAGCTGTCAAGATTGCACAACTAGGGACCAGCAGCCTTAAGGCCTTGTCACAACACACATTGTGACTCTGCATGGGCACTTTGCCATTCTCTTTCCTCACTCCTTCTTTACAGTGTAACCGAAGGGCAGGACAACCTCTAGGATCTGCCCAGTAAAGGGACTTTATAACTTTAGGCATGATCACCTCGGTTATTTTTCTTTTCTGGCCCTTTCTTAGTTTCTTGGGTCTCACTGACCCAGAAGTGGGACAGACACCAACGTGAAGCTTTCTCTTCTCCCCAGCCAGCATGTGGGTCCCAGCTGGGTTTGCATTGAGCCTTAGGGGAGACCTCAGCCAGAATGGGGCCAAGGATGCCAGCTCAGCGGCCGGCATGATGGGGAGGGGAAGGTGGGAGCTGGCCCTATCCGCTGGGTTTTATCAGTGAGYTCCTCAGACATATACAGAGGCAGAGCTGTGTGTACGCTCCAAGTCCCCCAYGCTCCATCTGTCTCCCTACATGTCTAAACACTGAGGGCGCCAAGTGCCTGCCCTCCTCCTCTCAGCCCCTCCCCATGACTGACAGGAGCCATAGAAACTCAATACCCCTGAGGAGATAGGGCCGGACAAGGCAGGATGGGCCATCTCCGTCACAAGGCTAGTGCTGGGTGGAAGTAAGAGGCCCTCAGAGCCCCCAAGAGCTGAGTGGGGAGCAGGAGCCCCTTCTGGCAGCCCAGTCTAGACACACAGCATAGGACAGTATCTTACAGATGAAAACTGACTTTGATGCAAGAATTCTCACTTGAAGCCAGCTTTCTGTATGCCCTCCTCGGATAGAGGAGAAGAGCTTTCTTAACTTTGATTTTTCAAATGAGTCTGCTAAATCGAACTTACAGTCTGGGTCGATAGCCTCAGAGCCCAGTCTTTCTGTCAGCCAGTTTTCCCATCCCAGCTGCCCTGGCCCTCCTCAGCCCCATCTCCTCTCCAACAACCTGAAGCCCATGATTTACAGTCTGGGCTTCAGAGGTCTGGAGGCTCCCTCCAGAGGCAAAGGCTGATGAGGTGGGAGAGCAGCGGGGCTGCCTGGCATGGGAGTATACGAAGAGACCCTTGCTGCTTCTGGAGACAGGGCATACTGGCCTTTGTTGCATTCCGTCCATCCCTGGCAGAGAGGGGTAAGAGCGTAGAAGCTAGGGTTAAACCACATCTCCAGCTCTCAGGAAACAGCAATGTCCCAAAGGTGCCATTCCCTTCAAGTCCCTACTCCTTCCAGCCACCCGCTGAACATACAAGAACCTGAACAATAAAGGCAGGTACAGGTGTCTCCTCCCAGCACCATTGCCCACACCAGACGTCAGCATCTCATCCACTTGTGGATGAGACAGGAAGACAGGAAGAAAGGGGTGGAGGTGGGCCCTGATTCCAGCAGAGGAAGCAGTTTCTGCTCCCTTGTCACCCCCTCCAAAAAATGAAAAGATTTTAGAGGTTTGCCCGGAGMAAGCGTGCAGGGTCACACAGGACAGATGGCTAGAGCTTGTGGGGGCCTCCCACTTTGCCTCACTGGCAATCCAGAAGGACCAGTAGACCTCCCCTGCCCAGTCATGTCTGCAGTCTCTGTTGACCTTCCAGTTTGGGGATAAGCCATGAAAAGCCATGAAGAAAGTGATTCCTGGGACCCAGAGGTGGTCTCAGTGGGTCACCGGCATGTGTCTCTCATACCTCCAGTGAGCACCACCCTGTCATCCTGGTCGGGGCATGCCCGGAAGTGCAACGAGACAGCCAAGTCCTATTGTGTCAATGGAGGCGTCTGCTACTACATCGAGGGCATCAACCAGCTTTCCTGCAAGTAAGTGACCAGTGGGGTCAGCATGGGGTGAGAGCAGGGTAGGAGATGCTGGGGCAGAAGTGGAGGGCTCTAGGAAAAGTGTGCTTCCAGTCACTGGCAAGGGGTCCCCAAAGGGTACAGACAGCAAGGTTGGCCCCATTCCTAGACCTTTCTGGAATATAAGGAAATGTAAGCTCTAGCCCCTTCTGGAACTTGAGGAAATGTCAGGACACATGGGCTCCTGCTGTTCCAGTTTGCTAGGCCCCTGTCCACCCCATCTCCTGATGTCCACCCTTTCACCAACACCTGTTAGGGAGATGGGGATGCCAATCTAAGGCACTGGGCTTTCTTTCTTTCTCTCTCACTCTCTTTCTCTCTCTGTCCTCCTTCCCCATCTCTCAACAACTCTCCAAACTAGTTCTGTCCCAAGCTGCATCTTCCCCAGCAATGAGGAACCTGGTAGGGTCAGGCAGACCACAAGCTCCCACACCCTTGGCTCCTGAGGGTCCTACTCCTGCAGTCTTGAGGGGAGTAGAGTGGACTGCCCAGAACCCCTTGAATCTGGCTGCTTTCAATGCCCTACAGCACCCCAGTGACCATTGTGCCCAAGTGCTGCCTGTGCTCATTTAGCCCGGCCCCCTCTCCATGAAGTAAAAAGATACCAACAGAGACTGTGGGTGTTGCCCAGTGGAGGAGGTCAGGTTGGCCCCAGCAGGAACTCCAAGGAGCTCAGAACCACCCACTCCCCAGAGCACACAGGGTAGGCGGGAGCTTGGCAGTCAGGGAGGCCTTGTTCAGGCCCAGCAGGGTCTTCTGGGCAGTTGGGCCCCCCCCAAAGCCCATGGACAGAATTTCTGGTGGGCCTGAGAGGAGGGGGAAGGGAGCTTGGGGAGGGCAGCACAAGCTGTGGCCAGATCTTGGGGAGGAGTGGGAAGGGGGCCTAGTGAACAACTTGGGGTTTTCAGAGCATCTCAAGTCTAGGGCCCTGGCAAGATGCCAAAACTGCCCCATTCTTGTGGCATCTGGGCAAAGACCACTAAAATATTGATGGAGATTTAGAGAGGGGCCTGAGCTCCTACAGACGAGGTCAGATCAGCACTTGAGGTCAGATCAGCACTTGAGGTCAGATCAGCACTTGAGGTCAGATCAGCACTTCTAGTTCCCCTGTCTCTGCCCTCCCAGGCCGGGTCTGCATCCTCCTCCTTAGCTGCAGCCTTTCCTAGGAATATGGGCCTGGCAAGAAGACCAGGACTTTTAAAGACCCCCTCCACATACCACGTGGTCACAAGGGTCCACACCTGTTCACACTCATCCTCAGGGTGGGGTCGCTGGGCTGCCATTGCCAGGCGGGACTGTGGCTCTAGCCCCTGCTGGCCTCCTTGGCTGGCTTCCTCCCTGGTCCCACCCTTCACCTGCTACCATCCCCTTCCCACCCTCCTCCCATCCCAAACCTCAGRGAAGAGTCCCAAGAGCAACAGCAGGTCCTCCAGGGAAGTTCTCAACTTGGCCTCAGCCCTCAGCCTTCCCTGCTTTTTCCTCTAAGAGGCAGCCACATTAGTTACAGACCCTGGGGAACATTCTAGCCTTGAAAATGCTCTGAGCTCTTTGGATTAGACCTACTTCAAATTCACAAGGGCCTTGGAATAACTAACAGGGATGGCCCAGTCCTGCATCCCCCTTGCCATGTCCCATACGCCTCTTCCATAGCCCCTTGGACCCCTTGACCCTCAAATGGATCCAGCATTGTTGCTAAAATCAGCCCTGGCTCCAGATAGGGAAGGTTCAGCCCCCAGGACAGGCACCAGGGATGAGCAGAGCCAGCTCTGGGGCCCAAGCTCTAGTCTTGGAGTTTCTTGTGGGAAAAGGAGGAATAAGATACATAGGTACCAGAGGACCCCGCCAGCAAGGCTGCACCCCTAGGAGCCCAGGTCCTGCCTGGCCAAGTCTAAGGGGAGTAGAAGGCAGGAGCCTGAGCCTATTTCCCTCCCCACCAGGACAACTGGGTTTCACAGCTTAGAACTTGAACTTGGCACCCAGAGCTACCCCCTCCCCATCTTGGCCCCCCCCCCCCCGGGTCAGCCCCAATCAGGGCTCATGGATTTGACTTTCTTGGCTCCCTTTGTCAGCCCGAAGGGGAGAAGAACATCCCTGGCGGGGATTGAGGTCCTCTGAGTTGTGCTGGAGAAGGGCAGGGGGGAGGGGGCCGGGCAGAGCCCAGAGGCCATTCTGGGGGTGGGCAAGCTGGGAGGGAAGGGGGGCAGGCCTCTCGGGATTCCTGATGACACCTGAATGGAATAAAAAGGAAAGAACTTAGGAAACGGAACTCACGTCTTACCATTTGTGCTGTTTGTTTACTTTTATTTTGATTTTTTTGCATTTCCGCTTAGCTTGGATAATGAAACTACACTGGTCAGTTTCATTCCAGTTTCTATAAAAATCAGTTTTCCTTCCTGGTTTTCTTACACTTGTTGTTGTGTATTGGTTCAAGCCCTACAGGGAGTGTTGGAAAGCAGGCACACTCCGTAACCCTCCTGTTTTTCTGGAACTCAGTGCCAAAAGAAACAGTGTCACTGATACTGAATTTTGTTTTAAAAAAGAAAACTTAAGGGGATTTGAAAATGGGGATCCAAATCAAGGTGACTGTCTCTGTCTGGGCCAGACAGGGGCCCCCACACTTCCTCTCGCTGCTTTCTCCTCTTCTCTCCGTGTGTTTGTTGAGCACGGTTGGTGCGTGACTCTTGGGGACTGGTTCAGGGGATGATGACAGAACAAGACTCTCTTTCCAGCCCTGTGCACATACCAGTGGCATGCCTCCCCTGCCATCGGTCCATCCCCATCCGTTCTGCTCTCTCCAGCCCACCCATGATCAGGCGACTCCCCCATCCCACCCCATTTGCCTGCTCATCCTCACCACATCTCCACCCACCCCTCATGGACTCCGAGACCCTTATTCCCCCCCAGTCCCTGGGGCACACCCTCATCCTTCATCCTCCTCTCTCCCCAGGTAAGGGCAGCACACATGGCATTATCCCCAGGCTACCAAAAGGAGAAACTGAGGCCCGGGAGGTGGGGTGGGGGAAGGGGAAGGCAGAGGTTCCTGACCCCTCTGTCACCCCAGATGCAGCCCGTGGGCTCTCCTCTCTGCCCCCCCTCACCCCTGCTCTTCTCCAGCCCTGGGTACAGACCTTCCCAGCATCATAGCTGATGACTCAGCGGGAAGGGCTGGGAAGGCTGCTACCCATTGCTCCTTCTGATCTGTCCTCCGTGTCCCTGAAATTCAGAGGGCCATCCCTGCTTGAGTGGAACCCACAAACCACCAGCCAGCCACCCACCCACACTGAGTTCAGACTCCTGCCCTGGTTGATAGGGGATGCACTCTGGTCTTGGGGGCAGGTTAGAGAGGTGGAGGCCTGGCCCACCCCCAAAGTCTGCCCTAGGGGAATCCCAATTTCAATAGGCAGGACAAAGGAGAGGGATAGGAGTGTCCAGGAGCCCCCTGAAGGAGCTAGAGCCCCAGAGAGCACTACTGACTACCAGGCCTTCCTGCCCCTTATGTTACCCCTCCTTGAGGCCTTATTTGTTCAAACAGGGGGGCACTCTCAAGGCAAGAAGACTAGCACTATAATATTGCACCATTCCAAGGTGCACATTTATGCTATAGACTGTGTTAATAGTACCCCCTAGRGTTGTGTGACTCAGTGGCCGTGAAAGATATGAGGATGCAGTCAGGGAATTCAGGCTGCATGTGGGATCGAGGATACAGGAATAGACTTAGTTGTCATTGGTCTCCAAGAGTCATGGTACAGCAGCCCTGCTTATTAGAAATGGGAATATATTTCCCCTCTGTGCCCTCCTGCCCCTGAACTCCCCTTTCTCTCTCTTACACCAACACACACACACACACACACACACACACACACACACACAAAGACATACACTGAGTTACCTGACTCCAAGAGCCAGGCTAATCTCAGACATGGAACACAGTTAAACTTATCTCTTTTCTGTTCTTTTGTGGATTCCAAGAGTCATTTTGGCAACTTCCTGGGTCTTTATCCTCTACCCCAAAGGTACTTCTATTTGAAAAAAAATCACTTTTCCCCCTCTTGTCCCCATCCCCACACCAGTGTCCAAGAACTGAGGAAGAAGAGCTGGAGTTGTTTGGAAATCCTTAGCCACAATCCCCATCTTCCTTGGGACAAAGGCCAGGGATCAGAGAAGGTTGGATTGATGAGGRACCTGAGCCCCCCTGTTCAACAGGATCAGCATGCATGCCCATTGCCCACCCCTACCACTTTCCTAGAGCCCTCCCAGCCCCTCACCCCCACCCTGGCCAGGTGTGCCTGCACACACCCCTATCACTTCAGCGATGACCTCTTATCTCCCAGAGAGCTGCCATCAGGGTCCTGAGCAWCGAGCTTTCTGCCCACCAACCACTCCCATTCCCCAGTCCTCTAGATATAAGGCCACAGGGTTTCATGAGTATATGTCACAGCCAACAGTCACCGCCCACTTAAGCCCCAGGGGCTTCCTGAATGGTTGAATATACCAGGAGGTGAAGGAGTAGAGCACACTTTAGTTCTTGAGGAAGTTTAGGTTGATTCATGTTGAACAGTAGCCRATTATTACCTAACTTCCCAAGGAAAAACAGGCCAAGGCAACATAGGCCCATCCCTGAGTAGGGACATGTGGGGAAGGGGTCAGTCCAGCCCTGTTCGTAAGATTCTCCTCAGCTAGCTGGACTTGCTGGGGTTCAGAAAAGAATAGAGGGCTGCCAGAAATCTGCAAGACTGAGACTCGCTTGAGGGGAGAGGTGGCAGCCAAAGAGCAGAAGGAAGTGTACCTTGGGGGTGAGGACAAGGTCAGGGACATGGGAGTGGGTGGTGCCTTGGAGCTGCAGGAAAGGCAAGATGGAAGAAAGATGTAGGGCAGAGTGAGGCTACAGTGGAAGAGCAGGTCACAGGGAAAGGGCAGGAATGCCCAGGCTGGCTGCCAGCAGGCCCCTGATGTGCAACAGGCCTCCAGGTCCCCCAGTGAGCCTGCTCCAACCTGCCCCTGCCCTCGGCCTCAGGAAGGCAGCTTTGGGACGCTAGTAATTCCAGCTCCCCTCCAGCTTCCCCTTCCCCTACTAAGCTTTCCCCATGTTTATTGTTCTAGGGCAGCCTTCCCCAAACTGTGTTCAACAAAGGTTCCTCTAAAAAAAAATGCCTTCCATGGTCAAATAAATTTGGGACATACTAGAAAGTTCAGCTATTTCCTCCTATAAAATTTTTATAACCTTTCATATGCTAATGTAAGCTGCAATGAGGAGCCCTGCGAATGGATTTCCTAAACTTATTTGGCCACAGAACCTTCTTTGAGAGAACAGATCAAACATCTTCTAGGTCAGTTTTGTCATGGACACATAATCTGGGTACAGCCTTCCAGAGTTCTGCTTTGAACTTTCTGGGAGTTTCATGTATGAGAAAACCTGCCCAGGGCCCCAGAGAGAATCCTCCAATAGGGCCCAAAGGAGTGGCTCCTAAGAACTTGGTCTCCCTTAAGGTTGACTGCCTGGCACTAACGGGCTGCAGTACTGGCTTCATGGGGCACCAGGCAGGTAAGAAGGAAAGGTTCAGGACCAGGAGGACAACTAGACAATAACCTCCATTCTTCCCCCTCCCCGCTTCCCTAAATCATCCTCCCCCTGCCCCACCCCTTCCCACCACCCACGGAGCCACATCTATTAGAGAGGTTTATAAGATTTCAGAGCCCTCCACCCAGCCCCAACTCCAGCCCCTTCAGCTACAAGTGTGACCCCAAGTGCCTGACTTGGTTTTTCTCATTCATCACTGTGCACTTTGATTTCTAACCTTAGCCTCGCGGATGATGCCAGTTTGTTCTGTGATTTTTCCCCTTTTCCTTCTCCAGATGTCCAAACGGATTCTTCGGACAGAGATGTTTGGAGAAACTGCCTTTGCGATTGTACATGCCAGATCCTAAGCAAAGTATGTTTGAAGATACAAACACAAGTCCCTGCTCCTTAGAAAGCTTCCGGGTGCAGTCCCCCCAATGTAGGGCATAGGGCCAGGGGTGTTGGTTGTTTTGATCTTTGGCTGTTTTGTTTTGTTTCTCTTTTCTTTTTTGTATTTTGGTTTGTTAGTTCTTTTGTTTTGTTTTGTTTTGCTTTGTTTTTCATTTTTGGCCTAATCCTTGGGTTTAAAATTCAGGGCTGCAGGTAAGGGGCAGAGTGGCCAGGCCAGTACAAATGGTAACGGTGGCAAGGAACCCAGCTGGCATTGGCAGGAGCCCGTGCCGGGGTGTTGCAATGCCTGTGTCTTGCTATCCTGGCTCTCTCTTTCTGGTTTTCTTTCTTTTGGTAGGTGTCCTGTGGGATACACCGGGGACAGGTGTCAGCAGTTCGCAATGGTCAACTTCTCCAGTATGTCTCTTTCTTCTATTTCTTCTCTTCCCTGGTGACTGGCAATCTCCCCCTGTGGGAGGGATGGGGCCTTGCTTATCATGACTGGGAGGGAAGTGGGGGTGTCCCGTGCTCCTCTCACTCCTCAGTGCTCACCAGAAGCCTGTGCAGAGGAGAACGATACACCCCCTGCCCCCTGGCAWCCATCAGCTATACTGCCTGGGCATGGTCATGCTGAATTCTCTCTGCAGCAGCAGGACCCTGTTCAGGTCTCTTTACCCATTCTGGGGACAGATAGCCTGGCCAGAAATGGGAAGAGGCATTTATAGAGCCCTCCCTGGCCTCTGAAGGCTGTTTGAGGATGTCAGGCTGATGATGAGTTTGGGAAGTGAGTGTGAGTGTGTGTGCTGGTGTGCTTGAGAGAAAGAAAAACGTCTCAAAAAACTATTTTCTGCTCAGGCCAGAGTATGTTGGTTTGGGGTTTGGGGACCAGAGMGGGGAGGAGGGGAGTTTGAAGACCACCTGTGGCAGTGTTCTCCATGGATGCCAGAGGACATTTGTGTGGCTACAGGATGAGGTGGGCTGGGGATTGCTCAGAAAATAAATGATAAGGAGAATGAGGAATCAAGGGGTCATTGGTGATTCTCCCCAGGACATCTCCGGTCTGAATCCACTTTCAATACTTCATTCCTTTTCTTTCTTCCACTTCTGAGGTTGGAGCTCTCTCTATGTTCTGGTTTACATAATTTACAAAAAGAAAAAAAAAAGTGAGCCCTGTGGCTGACCCAGGGATGCAGCTGTAATTGTACAGTGTTTATATTAGGACCTGGGAGCAGTTCCTTCCAGCACCACCAGGTGGAGGTGCAGCAGAGCAAAACTACACTGGTTTGCCCACAGATTCCATCTGGGGTCCAATGGACCATTAGTCTGCAAGGCCTGAACCATGTCACCCATCCTATCCTGCAGAGAAGACTAGGCCCCGGCCCATCCCCTCCTGTCCATAGGACAACTGGGTCCTATGAGGAGTTAGGAACTAGAGCATCCAGATGGTACCTGGACATTGGGAAGTAGAACTCTGGGAGACGCCAAAGGTCTACTCCTAGGTAGCTCATGGAGAAAAAGAGTTTTGGAGTCTAGGTATCAGGGTGAAGAAATGAACCTTCCCAAGCATTCTTAGACCACAGCAGGAAAGCCTGAAAATTTACTCCCTACCTTAACCCAATAGAAGCATAGGGACCCCAGCAAATGAGAGCCAGTAGGCCCAGAAGGTCAACTGTCTTCATAGCATGGGAGGCAAGGCTCCCCACAGGACTCTCTAGTCAGAAGCCAGGAGGAAGCCCTTGGGGACAAGGACAGAGCATGTAGGCAGGACATGTGGCTCAAAGGAATTCTCTAGAAACCAGGCTGTGGAAGAATTTCAAAATCAGGTCCAGTCTATGTGGAGAACTGTAGGGCAAGAGGGGGCAGAGCTGCCAGGCTGAGCACGGGCCAGGTGACAGGCAGTGGAGGTTATATTCCTTCCCACCCTTTGGCCAAGAACCTCTCTGGCTTATGGGACTGTTCTGGACAGGCAGTCCTGGCCCCTCCTGAATCAGAGCAGCAGAGCCTCCGGAACCCGGGCCACTGTCCAAGGCCTCTCTGCCAGCTGGGCTGCTTCAACTTTCAGCCTGGATCTGCTGGGAGGGTCAGCAGAGCCCCAGGAGCCCAAGACAGACTGCAAATGCAGCCTGTGGCCCTCCCACCTTGTCTTCAGTACCATTACTGTTACCTTTCTATGAAGGACGAGTGCTCCTCCAGCACTTTCCCAGAGAGCCCTTCGTGTGCTCCTCTAGTAGATAGTGACTACAGAGGCAGTGAAATGTGCTCAAAGAAGTGGCAAGCTTCTAGTTCCAAGAGAGCAGGATGAAAATGCCAGCGGCCCAGCCTGTGAGTTCTGGGCCTCGTTTAACCCCTCTGGAGTTGTGTTCTTGTCTGTATATCGGGGGTCATATTTATGCCTGTCAGGCTGCTGTGAGGATGAAACGAAGCAACACATGTGAGGAGCTCAGCAGACAGCCTGCCACTGTCGTTAGAGTGCACTTTAGTACCTCTCCCAGCTACAGTTGGCATGGAGAGGGCAGGAGGAGCACTGACTCCCTGGAGGCCACCTCCCAGCATTCCAGATCAAAGTGTCTGACCTTGCCCAGACCACCTGGAACCAGGTTACCTTTTGCAGAGAATAAGGAAACTAGGCCTTAACCCCAGAAGCACTTAAAGGCTTCTCCTTCTTTCACTGACAGGCCCTCTCCTCCCAGAGAGTCAAAGCTTGTCTGTGTGTATGCCTCCATATAAATGAGCACACACGCTAACCCACAAGCATGCACTCGCCCCTGCATACATACATGCAAACACAGAGCACATGCTCACATCTGCACACACATCACTGCCTCCTTGTCCAGGCACCTCGTGACTGTGGATTGAACAATTTGCATATTGCCTGGATAGCTTCGCCCTGCTGAAAGTCCAGCATCAGGTTACCACGATTACTGGTTAGTATGCAAATTTCTGAACAATAGGACCTTCCTGTGACTCAGTGGTACCACCCCATCCTGGTTGAGTGGCAGGCAGTGAACATGAATGGGACACTCATATTTTAGCTGGGGTAGATGCAGCTGTAGGCCCCTCGGAATTCTTCTCTGCACATCCCAGGAAGAAGGCTGCCTTCCTGGTGACTGGCCWGGCCCCCAGTGACCTCACCAATCATGCCAACCATCACTGATCCTCCCTAAATAGTATAGCCTTTGACTCAAACAGCACACCATCAGTAGACCTGGAAGCTTCTGCTGATGCTATGATTTGGTTCCCAGAGGACTGACACAGATGAAAACTCTTACAGGGCTTTGGAAGCCTTTCCTTGCTTCTCCAGGTAGTCATTGCTCTCAGGACTAGCCAGAAAGGCCTCACCAGAGAGGCAGAACTAGTCAAAGCATAGTCCAAAAAGACCAGAAACAGAGCCTCCAATCTCCCTTCTGCCTTCTGATTTCCTGTGTGACCTTAGGAAAGTGTCCTGGAACTACTGGGTCCCAGTTGCCTCATATAATACAATAGCTTTGTCCAAAAGTGGGGCTCAGACCAGCTCTTAGTATCCAGGAGGCCGTGGTCAAGCCCTGCTGTTTTTTCCAAGGAACACGGCTGGATAGCCAAACAATATGAGCACTCTTGAGCTGCCTGGAAGGTCCCTGGATCCCAGAATTAACTATTCAGTGAAATGTCTGAGGTCTTTGGAGTCTGTCAAGATTTTACATCAACTTGCCTGGCTGGCCAGCTCTGGGAACCCTAGAGAAGAGTGGACAAACCATACTTAAGATGACTTTCTCCTACCTCTGCATTCAGAGCAAAACTGCAAAGAAGCCAAAACCTTAAGATCACCCTCCAGGCTCGGGTTAGCAGGAGTACACAGAAGACTCATGTTTAGAGGGCTGGGGTCAGTGCTTCCTTGGTATGGTCCCTGCACAGAACTGGGGAGCCCAAGCCCCAGGATCTTCCTCAAGGCTCTTGAAGTCAAGGACCACTTTCATCCCTGAAGAATCACCCTCCTCTCCTATCCTTTTCCAAATGCAGAGCCATCTAGAATCCCTTTCAGGAAGCAGAGAGAGACCTAGGGGTGAATAATGCTCAGGACTTCCTGCTAGTTGCCTGTGTTCCCCTTCCTCTGCAGCAGATGAGAACGTCACACACGACTTCGTATTCTCCCTGAGTCTAGCCAAGATGACTGTGCTTATGTGGAAGCCAGAGAGGGAGTGAACCCGGCTCGGCAGGAGCTGGGCCCTTGCACAGTGTGCAGAGACTCTGCTGTTCAGGCCTGCTTGCTGCTGCCTCTGACTGGGTACATGTGCTTTTGACAGATTAGGAAACAGAAACTGACTTACCCACATTCACACAGCAAATTAAGGGCAAAACTGAGACTCAGTCCTGCAAACCAGTGCTGGATGCACCATAGGATGGGACATGAGCTTTTTAAAAACACTGTTGTGATTTCTGGGCTCCTACCCAAGCCTGATCCTATTGGTCTGGAGGATTCTGAAGTACAGCCAGGTTTGCAAACCTCCCAGGACCCCATGGTTGAGCCTTAACCCTATTTAACAGCTAAGAGACTGAGACCTAGATAGGTTGGGTATCTCTCAATGACACACAGCAGTTAGGTGGCAGAGTTGACCCTTATTTAACCTGTCAATGGCGTAGATATCTACCTCATAGGTGCCTGAAACCACACATTCATTGATCTCACTTCCAAGACTAATTTATCCATTAAATGAGGCACTCACAAGTTCTCCAATCTTCTCATTCTCCTAGTTGCAGTTTGCTCTTCTAAGTAGCAAGATCGGTCTTGGCACCATGCCCAGCCCCTGCAGGTTTCCAGGGTGTTGAGGCAGTAAGTGGAAAAGTGACCTGCTGCCTGCAGCCTCCTCCTCTCTGTGCTCCTGCTCCTCACAGACTCTGAGGCTCCACACTTAGGCTCCTARGAGATGAGAAAGCCAGCCAGACCTGTGGGACAGGCCAGGGTTGTGGGGCCGGCCTAGGGATCTTGCCCTCATTTTGAACAGAAGAAAGGGCCCTGTGAATGAGCTAGGAGCTGGTCAGGCCCTCTCCAGGAGGACTTGAGAGCTCTGAAGGGCTGGCACTGGAGCTGAGAGGAGGGGACCAGGCACTCCTCAGAACCCTGTCCCCAGTCACCCTTTCCTCCAGGGAGACATTTGCCAATTGATTCTCGCCTGTGCCTCCTCACCAGGTACTAACCCCACTGCTCACCTTCAAAGAACATGCTCTGCCTGTGAATTCTAACATTGCTTCTCTCTAGCYCTCCTGGGGCTCTTGGGGACTGGGCACCAGGGAAGGAGCTCAGGGGGCTAGGAAGGGACATTACTAACCTGCTTTCACCTCACAGGCTGGCTGCCGGGTGTCTGAAGAATCCTGACCAACGTTTCTCTCTTTCTCTCTCTCTCTCTCTCCCCCTCCACCCTCCCCCTCCCATCTCTGTCTGCCTCTCTCCCTTCACCCCTCCCCCTCTTACCCCCAACTCTTCTGCACTGCCAGAGCACCTTGGATTTGAATTAAAGGGTATGGAACCTCTATGTATCACTCTGCGCCATCCGCTCAGCCCCCTCCATAGTCCCTGACCCCATGGGTGCTGAATGTTTCATTTCCTTTCCAAAAATGGAAAGGGGATGATTTCAAAAATCTCCCCTGGCCCCATCAAGATGTCYTAGAATAAGCTATGTTGATTTGGGGGCAGATAAAAGCAGCTCATGGCCAGCCGTGTACCCTGGGGTTCAGACTGTGCCTCCACCGCACAGTAGCACCCCCTGCATAGAGGAGACCAAGTGCTAGAAGGCCTCAGGGGAGGGGGCCCACAGTAGCACCCCCTGCATAGAGGAGACCAAGTGCTAGAAGGCCTCAGGGGAGGGGGCCTTGCCGAGCTGTGCAACCCAGTGGGTGTCCAACAAGAGACAGGGCCTTTGTGTGGATGTGGCTTCTTAAAGGGCCAATGTCCAGAAACTACTGAAGCCTGGTTTGGGAGTTGTGCAGAGAGGTGTCCCTTTCCATCTGACTTGAATCCTCTTTTCTTTTCTCATGTCCATTGCTTTTCATTCTGCACCAGACTAGTTGCTGATAATCCACATTTCCTTCTAGCCCTGCCCTGTGTCTTATCTGCTGGGCTTTGCCATCTGCTTGAGACTGTCACTCCTTCCATGGCACATGTGTGCATCCATGAGCAATACCAGCAAGGGTCTGGGTTGGGCTGGTTTCTGTTGCCTGCCCCTTGCCCTGGCTCAGAATTTGACATGTGACTCCCTACCCTATGCAGCTGCCCCTGGGAGACTCTTTGAACTAGGAGGGACTTTGAGGGTCTCTGTTTCCAACTCTGTGGCTTTGCTCAGAGAGGCTCTGCCCTGGCCCCAAGAGTCTCAGTGTATTCCAGCAAGAGATATGCAGGAGATCCAGAGGTGGGGGACTTCTGGGGGTCAGAATCTCAGATGTGATGCAGAGCCTACAAACATGCCAAGGCTGTTCTCGCAGCAGGTTTGGGGAAGACCTAGCTCTGCCACCTCCTGGCCCCATCAGCTGTTCTCAATAGAAGATAGAGCTCAGAGTCTGCATGTTAAGTGTGTCTGTGTCCACAGCCTGAAGTTGGGTGGGAAGGAGGGGTGGAGGCTCTGAGGGATCTAGGATCGTGGAGGAAGGATGCATGAGGTAAATCTGCAGGCGTCTGTGCTGATGGGATGTAGGGAATGTGTACAACACTTGCAAGGTCTCAGGGCAGAATGTGAGGGCATGGAGGGGCAGTGGGATATCTCTATGTTAAGTTGAGCATTTGCAGTTGGACCTATGTATGTGTGGAGGTGAGTGTAGGATGTGCAGACGTGTGTGTGTGTGTGTGTGTGTGTGTGTGTGTCTGAAAGGGGAGTGTGTATGCAGCAAACACTCATCACCAGAACCTACAGACATGTGTCCCTGCCCTCCTGGTGCTCCCATTCATGGGTGAGGTGGCAACAAACAGGAAGATATCAGGTGAAAATAAATGCTAGACAGAAAATAAAATGAGGTCATGGGATTGTTCTACTGTGCCTAAGTGGTCAGGGGAGGCTTGTCCCATAAAGTGACATCAGGTAGTCAGTCCTGCAAACAATTTGGTGGGGTGGTGGGAAGTGTTGAAGGCAGGAACCAAGTCATGTGGTTCAATGGGATTTGTCTGGTTCAGTGGATAAAGACCACCAGTGATTCCAAGCACTGGGGGAAAGGACCACAGATAAGATTCAAAGGGAGGTTGAGACCAAGTAATTGGGGTCCTTAGACCTTGGATTTTATTTGAATTAAAATGGAAACTATCATGAGTTTTAAGCAGGGAACTAAAATGATCTGCTTTACACTTTAATGTAGCTTTGAGTAGACRACAGCCTGACGCTGGGGGCAGCTAGGGAGCAGCAGACACAGAAAGGCCTGCCACATGGTGACCATCGCTGGGTGAGAGGAGGCATCATCCTGGACTAAGTTGGGAGCTGTGGAAATGGTCACATGGTCAAATCCAGGACCTACTTGGAAGGTAGAGCTGAGAGTACTTGTAGGTGGATCAGATATCAGGGAAGATGGGAAGAAAGGGAGTGATTCAGAATGAGTTGTGTTTTGGGGCCAGAGCCACAGGAGAGAGATGCTACAAGAGATGGGGAGGAGTATGGAAACTGGTTCTGGTTGGCCTTGGCCTTTGGATACCTGAGTCTGGAGCTTAGGGAGAAATCAGAGCAGGAGACAGAAAGAGAAAGAATGTAAAGAAATRATATTTAAAGTCTGTCTATATGAGGTCACTCAGGGAAAGAAAGAAGAAAGGAAAGAAAGAAGGAAAGAAAGAAGGCTGAGAGCTCTGGGCCCTTCTACCATCCAACCCAAGTAGAGAAGAAGGGAGCAGCCATTGACATGGGAAGACCAGCCTGCCATGTAGGAGGAAGCTCAGCCAGGAGCGCCACTCCAAGGCCATAGAGTGTGCCCCACAAGGAGGCATTTTAATAACCACAGGACTTGGAACATGGGGGTTTTTGTTGACCATGACCAGAATAGTCTCCAAGGAGGCAGATGCCTGACAACAGAAAATTGAGGGGTAAAGAGGGAAAGAGGCCTGGAGGCAGGGCTGTGGGACAGAGTCAAGATGGGGGTGTGAGACAAAGGTCAGGTTAAGAGAGCCTTAACTGACTGTGGGTCGGTGTGCCTGGATCTGTGTGTGCACCTGTTACTGGAGTGTGTGGTTAACTCTGTGTGTGTGTGTGTGTGTGTGTGTGTGTGTGTGTGTGTGTGAGAGAGAGAGAGAGAGAGAGAGAGAGAGAGAGAGAGAGAGAGAGAGAGAAGAGAGCAGGTATGGGTTTATCTTTGTGAAGGTTGTGCCTGTGACTCTGGCAGGCATAGTTGTGGACACGTGTGGGTCTGAAGGGTGTGCAGCCCTGGGGTTACTGTGTGCTTGCCTCTGCATGGGAGATGCTATAAGCCCAAGGGGACAGGGCTCCACCAAGGTGTGGGAGTCCCACCTCCAGTTATTCCTAAGCAGGGAAGCAGGGCCAGCCAGCAAGTGCAGGTGGGGTAGGGTGAGCTTTCTGGGTTATGGCCAGTACTGTCACTTTTTGCTTCTCTTCTTCCTAGTGGTCTGTTTTAGAGGCATGGAGAGTAGAGAGGAGAGTTGAGGCTGGGGGCTTGGAGGCCCAGTCTTACTCAACTCCCCAGCAAGGGTGAGGGTGTTCTTTACACACAAGGATAGATGTGTGCAGATGCCAGGGGCCTGTGCTGCCACTGGTGGGCTTCTTACCTGCAGACATGGGAGGCTGCAGTGGGCCAGGCCACAACTCTGACCAGGCCTTTCTTCCATGTCCCCTCCTGGGCCCTGTCTGCTCTGTCATGCTCCTGGCCCTTACATCCCTCCTACATCCCACCTCTGGTCTCGTACCTTGTCAACAACTTTAGCTTCTTAGGGAAGCTAAAGTAACTGATCCAGGCCTTTGCTCAGGGTTTCCATGTTCACTATCATAAAGAAAACTCTCCACAGTCACCAAGGTTCTTTGCAGCTGCCAGGCTGCTGTGGAGCAGGGCAGGGGTGCTACTGGCCAGACTAGGTTGTGCTCCTCTACTTCTCTACTCTATCCTCTCCCATCCCCTGCATTTCCACCCCCATGCTCTGGGTGGGCCTGGGATCTGGGAGGGTGTGACCAGACCCATGGGTGGGTGGGAATGTGGGGGACCATCCAGAAGCAGGCAGGARGGAGGAATGGAGGGAACTGGCAGGACCCGGGCTGAGGGAGCCTGAGGCTTTGGGGGCAGGGGGTGTCTGCACCAGCATCCCCCCAGGCCTGCCTCCTGCCCCACCTCCTCATGTCCACTCTGCCTCTGCAGAAGCCGAGGAGCTATACCAGAAGAGGGTCCTGACCATCACTGGCATCTGTGTGGCTCTGCTGGTCGTGGGCATCGTCTGTGTAGTCGCCTACTGCAAGACCAAGTGAGTGGCAAGTGCTCAGGAAGGGGACAGGCCAAGCCAGGGGATGGCCACCAAAATGTTTTTGTAAGGACAGGCTCTTCTCCTGTACCTCACCATGCCTGGCCTCAGTCTCCTATCCCCAGGGGCCTTTATAACTGTGGGGCTCAGGGGCTGGATCAGGAAACAGGCGTAGAGGTGGGGAGACAGCCCTAGATGACCAAACAAAGCGGGCYCATGGGCACAGGGCTTGAAAGAACACAAGTCTGGGTTCCAACCTGGCTRTGCCGTTTCCCATGTGATCTTGAGAAAACTGAGGAACCACTCCAAGTCCCCATGGGAATGAGCCTAGTGTATGCATCAAAGGACATTGTGAGGGCCTGAGAGGAACACACAGCTGACCACAATGGCTCTAAGATCATGTGCCCTGTCTAGCAGGAGGTGCTGAAGCAGTGCTAGGGAAGAAAGAGGGAGGCACAGAGAAGGTTGTGTTCCCTGGAAAGAGGCACCTCACAGGCACCTCCTGACCCCACCCTGGGAGCAATTGAGACAAGAACACAGAGAAGGTGAGGCTGGGCCACCTCTGGGCAGAAGACAGGTCAGGGCATAAGCTCAGGGAGCTGAGCAGTTTGGGTAGCAGAGTGCCAGCTAAAGACAAGCACAGATGGGGCAGTCACACCTGCAACAGAAGCAGCCTGAACTAGTTGGGCCAAAGAACCGGATCATAGAAGAGGAGGCAAGAGGCTAAAAAGATAGCTGGGATCCAGATGCCACCATAGGACCTTGATGCCAAGCCAGGAAGTCTAAATTTATCCTGTAGATGATGGGGATCCCKTAAAGGTTGAAGCATGATGTAGTACAGTAAATGATATTTGTCTCATCTGCTCCTACCTGGAAAGCAAGGCTGGAAATGGCCATCATCTGGGGGATGGAGCCTGTAGGTCTGAACCCCTGCTACCTCTACTGATAGGATTGAAGGCCCAGCTGCCCTCATCTCAGATAAGTTCAATAAAGACTGGTGGAGAGTAAGGAGGGAGTTGGGGTTCAGGAGCCCAGAGGAGGAGCCTGGCACATTACGGATTGTGTCCAAGAACTGGGGGAAAAGCAAGCCTCTGTTCCAACACCACTGCATTTATCCATTTCTTCAGCAGACTTTTATTCAGTGCTCAAAGCAAGTGGTCCAGTGTCACAAGACATATTTTAGAGTCATGTAACCTTAGCTGGAGGGCAGGAAGGGTTTTCCCATGGATGCAACATTTAGGCTGGAGCCTGTGAGCAAGAGTTAGCAGGTGAAGAGGCAAAGAAAGTATTCCAGGTGGATGGACTAGAATGTGTGCAAGCCCAGAGGCCAGAGAGGACAGGGGATCTGAAACAAGCTGTCCAGGGGTGCAGAAAGCTGGGGTGAAGGGAGGCAGTGAGAGATAGGATTTGAGGGTGAAATGGGACCCTGAGAGCTAATGAAGGTTTTAGACAGGTGAGTGACATAAGAATCGCTTATTATAAAACAAATTTATTGAGCATTTAATATGTGCCAATGTAAAATAGTCCCACAGGCCCTGGCTTCCTAACCACAGCACCTTGTTTTTATTTTCTTCATAAAACTTAAGGGAAAATATCGAGTTCATTTACTTGTTTATGTGATTATCATCTGCCTCCCCCACTAGCCTGCAGGCTCCATGAGACAGGGACCATGTCTGACTTCTCTGCTCCAGAGTAGTATCTGGAACACAGTAAAAACTCAATAAATACAAATGAATGAATGAGGGAGGGAGAGTGCCAGCAATGTGCATGAATAGTTTATATATTTTTAATGCTCAACAGTCTTTGGAATGGTTTCACACATGGGGCAACTAAAATAGGCAGAACTTCCGTAACTTGCCCAGGGTTAAGAAACTAGAAAGCAGTGGGGTCCACACATTAACTACTCATGTGCCCTGGAGGGAAGTTCATCCACTATAGGGGACCTGCCAGGTTCACCTACCCTCCCTCTATGCAGAAAACAGCGGAAGCAGATGCACAACCACCTGCGGCAGAACATGTGCCCAGCCCACCAGAACCGGAGCCTGGCCAATGGACCCAGCCACCCCCGGCTAGACCCCGAAGAAATCCAGATGGCAGATGTGAGTGGTGTTCTAGGATCCCCTCTGAGCCTTGCTGGTCAGCCAGGCTTCTCACACAAGTTGCCAGGACAGCAGCCAGCTGTCCTGGATCATCCCTGCCTGCTAGGCACTGCCTCCCCGGATGGCTGGCCTTGCTTTGCCCACTTGCAAGGGAAAGGAGGGGAGTTGCTGGCTGGAACCAAAATCACCCCAACATCAAAGCCGCTTGTCATCCACTGATCACTCCCCCCACCTAGAGCTCAGTGCTTATTACTTTCCCACCCTCACCAGCGAGAGCCTACCTGGTCCCCATCACTAATTCCTGCCAATTCTCTGTCTGTCCCAGTACATCTCCAAGAATGTGCCAGCCACAGACCACGTCATCCGGAGGGAAACTGAGACCACTTTCTCTGGGAGCCACTCCTGTTCTCCTTCTCACCACTGCTCCACAGCCACGCCCACCTCCAGCCGCAGGTGAGTAAGTCAAGGCCCACAGAAACTTGAGGATTCCTGTCTTTTATCTCATTCATCCAGAGTTATTTGACACCCTCTCCTGAATTTGGCTCACAAATTGTGGTCTCCCTTAGCCTTCTCTTCAGAACAGGGGTGATCTATCAACATAAACACAGAGGCTTATACAGCTTGAGAAATAACATGGCTGGCCCTCCTTTCCTGAGAAGTACCATGGAATGATCAGAGCTCCCAAAGATTGGCTTCTGGGGCTGGGGTCCTGAGATAAGGTGGCTAAGGGCCATGAGGGTGAAAGAGTCCCACACAGGGGCTCTGGGGCAAGGCTAGGGGGAAGATGGCTGCAAGATATAAAGGAAGGGGCCTCTACACATTGCAGCTCACCCAGCCATGGCACCCAGCCCTCCTCCCAATGTCAAGTTTGGACATTTGTGATACTCCACATCAGCCCATGATTCAAAGGAGCCCAAGATGGGATGAAGATACTGGGATTGGGTGGCCAAAGTTCCACATCTGCTGGGCCACTCTACCCCTTCCTGACCTCTTGCCTTGTCCCCACTGGCTATCCCAGACATGAGAGCCACACATGGAGCCTGGAACGTTCTGAGAGCTTGACCTCCGACTCCCAGTCTGGCATCATGCTGTCATCAGTGGGCACCAGCAAGTGCAACAGCCCAGCATGTGTGGAGGCTCGGGCGCGGCGAGCAGCAGCATACAGCCTGGAGGAGCGGCGCAGGGCTGCTGTGCCACCCTACCATGACTCCGTAGATTCCCTGCGTGACTCTCCGCACAGTGAGAGGTTAGTTCTTACACCCTAACCTGGCTCCCACTTTGGCCAGAGGGCTGGTACCACTGACCCAAGGCTGACCCTTAGGGTATCTTAGAGACCTTTCAAAGAGGCTTATCTCCATTTTTTTCAGGTGAGTAAACAAGATCCCAGAAAGGTTATTACAGCTGAGTTGTAATGGACCCTGGCACATAGGGACCACCTGATTTAATTATCCTAYTAGGATACTTTTCAAAGAAGAATGGGAGATTAATAATTGCACTGAAACTTCAGGAATAAATAGGGGCTATTCCAGACAACCAGGTCCTATGGTTGCCCTATCCCCATATCACCTAGAGGACTCATGTCCCAGCAGAAGCAGAAAGACACAAAGACCAAGTCGATTGGAGGGTGGGAAGGGAAGTTGTTTTCAAGGACACTGACCAGTGCACAATAGACATGCGCCAAGAATGACCCAGGCCAGACAGCATGGGCAACAAGGTGCAGCATTCAAGGCACTGTTGAGTTCTCCAGCAAAGGATGCAGAAGGACCAAGGAAACTCCCCTTCTCTGACTCCAAGCTAGGAACCATAGGACCCACCCCATTACTCAGCCCCCAAGTGGTCCTCAGCAACTTGCATCTATGGGAGGACAGCAGAGGAAGGGGCACCATACAAGAAGCGTTGAGCCAAGAAGAAAGGAGAGAAGTAGATACCTTCCCTACTTTGTTGTTGTTTGTTTGGTACCCAGGATTGAACTCAGGGGCACTCAACCACTGAACCATATCCCCAGCCCTATTTTGTATTTTATCTAGAATCAGGGTCTCACTGAGTTGCTTAGTGCCTCACATTTGCTGAGGCTGGCTTTAAACTCATGTTCCTCCTGCCTTAGCCTACCCAGCTGCTGGGATTACAGGCATGCACCACCATGCTCAGCTACCCTCCCACTACTACAAGTCTAGGCTGGGCAGGCCTGCCTGGGGAGTCAGAGGTGGCCCTCCTGCTTCCCGTCCCTGAGGCACTCCCAGTCACAGGAACAAACCACTGTTGCTCACAGCAGCCTATGGAAAGTGCTAAGCCCAGGACACCACTCCAGGGACCACTCCAGGGCAGAGAAGCCCAGTCTGACAGCAAGCTCTAGGAAACAGCCAGGTTTCCTAAGACCAACCTGTCCAAGGGCAGCTGCACAACCTGCATGTTTAAGGGCAGGCTGATTGCCTCTATACACTGTTCCCTTAGCTGTAGATCAGAGAGAATTCTAGTATGCATGGTTTTGATGAAGGCCACATGAGAAAATATATGCAGAGCTCTTTGCCTCATACCTATCACTACTATCATCAACAGTAACCACAATACCAGGGCTCCTTAGGTGGTAGGAAGGCAAGAGGCAGAGAAATGGGGATGGAAAGCCTTTTGTATACAGGGAAGGAACCACTGGAGCTGTTCCAACAGAGGCACTTAAGAGTAAGATCAGAGAGTGAGGTGCCTGGAGCACGGAGGGCTGTGGGGAACAGCAAAGCTGGGTCTAAACAGGCAGGCTGGGGCCACACAGATGGACCAGAGCCAAGGGATTCTGCTCAGGAGATGGAGTCTGGGTGAGTAAGTAGGAAGGAGCCTCCTTAGCAGAGCTGGGACTTAAAAGATTGCTCTGGGAGCTGCAAAATGAAGGAGACACCATGGGATGGGGACACAACCAGGGAGAACAGCTGGCCCAGGATAGGATGGAGAGTGTGCCCAAGGATGGGGGAATGGGTAAGACTAGATAATTAAATCTACACATGAGATAGAGAAGATGTGGCGGACCAGGGTAGGGGAAATCAGTTGACTCAAAAAGAACATAACAGAGAAATTTTTAAAAGAGGATTCCTACAATCAAAAGGCAGTTTGTTTATCCATTCACCTCTCAGACACCTTGGTTGCAATTGTAAATAAAGCTGCTATAAACATTTGTGTTAAAAAAAAAAAAGACTTAACAGAGATTTGGGGCTGGTTCTAGACAGCAGTGAGGTGCTTAGCTATGCAGTGTGAAAAGGAATCATGGAGGTGGGTGATTCCTGTTCTGAAGTGGACAAAAGGCTGATGTGCTCACAAGAGGGATGTGGAGAATGAAAAAGGACAGGTGCCCAAGATCCAGACTGGGAGATAATAGCTTTTGAAGTCACTAGGTGTCATTGGACCCAGGCAGAGACTACCCCAAGTAGTGGGGTATCTGTCAGCCCTAGCTGAGCACCCTGTCCAAGGTGTGAATGGTCAATTCCCTGAGGAGGCTTTTGATTTCAATATAAGAAGGCATGTTGCCCTCACCAAAGCTGTGAGCCGTGGGATGAACTGTCCCTGCAGGAGCACTGAGTCCAAGTAATAGGGATACGTGAATAGGGACTAGTGGCTTCTGGAATTGGACAATAGGCATTCTGGTTCTTTCCTGCCCTGTGTTCAAATTCCAGCTCTGCCACTACCTAAGTGTGGAACCCAGAGCAAAGAACTCAAACGTCCTGAGTCTTTCCTGTGTGTAGTATGGCCCTAACCTAAAGGTCTTAAAAAATTACTATTAGATGAGATCATACATAGATAAAATGCCTGACCCCATGACTGTGAGCATTCCCACAACAAACGATCATTCGTGAAGACTTACCACGGATCAGATACTGGGCTAAGACATTCCCCTGACACCATATCTGGAATCGTCCCAATACTGCAATGGAATGAGCACTATGGTTATCCTCGCTTAACAAATAGGAATATGGATTGGAGATATTAAGGGAATTGCATGAGGTCATAGAGAAGTACCGCCRTCATTCTTGCAGACAGGATCCCTCACAAGATGATTTCGGTTGGGGCCCACCCTCTCATCCGAGACCCCCTGACCCATGCCTCTGCCTCTCCCTGCAGGTACGTGTCGGCCCTGACCACGCCCGCGCGCCTCTCGCCCGTGGACTTCCACTACTCTTTGGCTACGCAGGTGCCGACTTTTGAGATCACTTCTCCCAACTCTGCACACGCTGTGTCGCTGCCGCCCGCCGCGCCCATCAGTTACCGCCTGGCGGAGCAGCAGCCACTGCTGCGGCAACCGGCGCCCCCAGGCCCCGGGCCAGGGCCCGGGCCAGGCGCGGACATGCAGCGCAGCTACGACAGCTACTACTACCCGGCGGCTGGGCAGGGACCGCGGCGTGGGGCCTGCGCGCTGGGCGGCAGCCTGGGCAGCCTGCCTGCGAGCCCCTTCCGCATCCCAGAAGACGACGAGTACGAGACCACGCAGGAGTGCGCGCCCCCGCCACCGCCGCGGCCACGAGCGCGCGGCGCGTCCCGCAGGACGTCGGCGGGGCCCCGGCGCTGGCGCCGCTCGCGCCTCAACGGGCTGGCGGCGCAGCGCGCACGCGCGGCGCGGGACTCGCTGTCTCTGAGCAGCGGCTCGGGGGGCGGCTCGGCTTCGGCCTCGGACGACGACGCGGACGACGCGGACGGGGCATTGGCGGCCGAAAGCACGCCTTTCCTTGGCCTGCGCGCGGCGCACGACGCTCTGCGCTCGGACTCGCCGCCGCTGTGCCCGGCGGCCGACAGCAGGACTTACTACTCCCTGGACAGCCACAGCACGCGGGCCAGCAGCAGACACAGCCGCGGGCCGCCCCCGCGGGCCAAGCAGGACTCGGCGCCCCTTTAGGGCCCCGCCGCCCCCTCCGCCTCGCCCGCCCCACTGTCTTTAAGGAGAACAGAGACCAYCGACTGGAGAAAGGAGGGAAAAAAAAGAAATAAAAATATTTTTATTTTCTATAAAAGGAAAAAAGTATAACAAAAATGTTTTATTTTCATTTTAGCAAAAATTGTCTTATAATACTAGCTAACGGCAAAGACGTTTTTATAGGGAAACTATTTATATGTAACATCCTGATTTACAGCTTCGGAAAAAAAAAAAACAACAAAAAAAAAAGAGAGATGGGCCAATTTTTTGACTCTTTAATAGAAACCTATATTGTGGTGCCTTTTGCTGTACGCTAATCTGGGGCTCCTGGAGAGACGTCTGGGTTGCGGGGTGGTGGTGGGCCATAGGATCCAGAGCTGGTTGAGGTGAGCGAAAGCAGGGAGAGAGACTGTGAGGGTTTTATGGGGTGAAGGTGGTGGGTGCTGAGGAAGAAACTGAGGACAGAAGTAGTTTTGTACCCAGACCATATTTGGAGTCCTGGGCCCCCTGGGAGTAGAGGGCAGGGATCCTAGGTTCAAGTGCTAGAATTGGGATCAGGTAACTTACAGGGGGAGACAGAAGCCCAGCGACAGCAACCAGAATGGGGAGGGGCTCTCCCCGCTCCTCACAGCTGCTAAGGGAGGGGGGCCAGAAAGAGGTCTCCCCAGCAGCCCCAGGCCCAGGGAGGGGGCAGCTGTGCCAGGGGCCCAATATTCATGGCTCCTCCTCCCCTGCGGCCTCCAGGATGCCCTCTGTCCTCTGCAGCACCTTCGTTTACAGGTCGTCTTTTCTATTTTATGCCTGCATGTCCTTTGCATTTCAGATTCTTTAGATTGGATGCATGGTCACGCTGGGACCGAGAAGAGCCACTCGACAGTGTATTCAGTTCCCCTTTTAGCAATAAAGTAACCATTTCCTTCTCACAACCTGGCCCCAGTCCCCATACCCACCTATGACTTCCACTTTCTCTCCAGTCCTACCCTCCCCAACCCTCAAAACTGGATCCAAGCTAATTTGTCAAAAAATGAAATTGTTTTAAAAAAATCCCAAACAGAAACAAATGGGAACCCTGCCCTGAAATGTCCGAACACCTGACTGTTGACACTTGAACATTTTTATATTATAAATAAAATCAGAAATAACTCCTGTTTGACTGTGTGTGCCTAGCCCAGATGAGGAGGGAAGACAGGATGAGGACCTGAGGTGGAAGTGGATGGGTGTTCAAGTRAAGGTAGGAGAGGGCCAGTGCAGTCCCTGAGAGAAAGTGACCCTCTCTCCAATCTCCCTGGCCCCAGCTCCCAGGACAGGCTCCAACCCACCTCCCTCTTCCAAAACCATTTACAAGGTGTCCCCCCTGGCTGCTAGGAACCTGGCCAAGGGACTGACGCAAATTGTTCTGCTTCAAACTCAGCTTCAGAACTCTGGCCCAGTTCTTGCCCCGGAGCTATGGGGCTGGATTTGAGGCAACAGTTTCCCGGCCTGGATGGGTGAAGAAGGAAGGGTTGTGGGGTTGGCACAGGGTAGCTGAGGCAAGATGACCCTTGGGGCCTTGGGCACGTCACAGGCAAAGTCTGGACATGCAAAGAAGCATAATGGGTACCCTTGCTGCCAGAAGGACCACAACAGCTGCAGCTCATAAGCCCACAGGGGATTGCTCTTTCCCCAACTTTATCCCCCCTCAGAGCCAGGACCTGTCTAAACCTGCAGCCTTTGATGAAGGGTACATGATTTCAGGTATAGAGGAGGCAGATGGAGGTCCAGAGTTAAGTCTTTCATCTCATCAACTAATTTATTAAATCAATACCCAGCACCAGGAACCAGAAGATTCCAGCCAGAACACGAGGAAATCTCTCCAAAGAGCTGAGGTGGATATGTGTGTCTGTGTGGTGTGTGTGTGTGTGTGTGTAGTCAGAGACCTATACAGAGGTGGGACAAAGAGGTTTAGGATTGGGAGGGCTCAGGCACCAACGGGACCTGAGTTTGAACACCTGCCACAGCTAGTGAGTTGTCTAAGAATTATCTAAGCTGCAGGGTCCTCGATGTGAAATGAGGATGGAAATACCTACTTCAGAGAGTGGCTGTGGACCCAGGACTGTCCTGGTAGAYGTCTAGTAAGTGCTACTTGGGTGGTAATGACACCACCATGCCTTGCATCCTTGAATCACATTGTCAGTGTGGCAAAAACTGAATGAGAGATGATGGAGAAAAGTAAAAGAAGAGGTAAAGTCTCTATTCATTGTGGGGTGCTAAGGCAAGCACAAAGAAACAAAAAAATAATAATTGACTAGCTGTTGTGCAAACCTGCACATCACTGCCCTTCTCAGGCCCCATCAGATGGCCTCATCCAGGCCTCTCTGCCATCTCTTCAGTTTGCTTTTGACTTTACATTTTTCTGAAGGCTGATAATTCTCTACGTGTCCTCTCATTTCCATGGAATCCCACATTACTCTGTATGTCCTCCTGGTAAATTCACTGACCTTATCATGACCCAGTTTAGTGTCCTTATTTGACCCTTCTGAGGGCTCTAAGTTGTTACCTTCTGAATTTTCAGTCAGAAACCACCTCCATGACTCAAATGAACTTCTGATCTCTATGTGACCCCCAGTTAATTCAGAATTCAATGACCTTTACATGACCTCATACGATACCTTCATTGTTGTTCTGAATTCTAAGATACCTGCCATACCTGCCAACGTCCAAAGCCAAGACCTAATATAATTCCTTGGCTTCCTCCTCCTTGTGTCATCCACCCCTGGGAGCACATTTGGCCAGAGAGACCCTTCTCCACTCTGCCTCTCAAATTTCTGCTTTGGGGGAATTTCAGTATGGCCTTTCACAAAGTGTCTCCATCCTGTTAAGCAACTTCCTTCCTACTACCCTGTCCCCTAGAATTTTTAGGATATTTGAGCAGTTATCTGAGTCAGAGTTTCTTCCCCACTCCCCAAATTCTTTCTTCTCTCTGTTGGATCACACTTGGCTTCTCTCTYCGGCTCCTCCCAGAGTCCCAAAAGGTAATGGTAACTGCCTGTCCCTCTTCCCACTAGACTCTGAGCCCCATGAGGACAGGAAACTGATCTTTTTCTCACCACCTTGTCCCCATCACCCTTTACAGGGTGCAGCATAGACTGACTCTCATTGAATGCCAGGATGGAGGCTCAAGACACCAAGATCAAGGGCCAGCCCCCCTCCTACCCCAGGAACCCCTGTACCTGCAACCACTTCCCAGGACCACCAGGTGGCGCAAACCACTTATTGCATCTCCCAGGGCCCTGGATTTGGATAGTCTTAGAAACTGGTTATATTAGGGCAGARATTGGGACAGGGAACATGATAGTCCATTAGAATACAGGAAGAAATATTAGAACTTTGATTTAGATTTATTTTATCTCATCTTCTTTTAAATTTCTATTTTTGTGTATGTTTTATAATGTACATAATATTTTAGTACAGTASTACATGTATATAATTTACAAATAAATAATTATACAATTAAGGAAGCAAACTAAAAATTTCTTTACTGATAAGAGGCACAACTAGTGCCCGGGGAAGCACATCTGTCCGTGGCTGCTGGAGCTTGCACCTCTGGTCGTCACCCACCCTCAACGGAGCAGAGAGTGGGACGCTGGCCTGAAAATTAAAGGACCTTTGAGGCAGCTTGGAAAAAGTACAGAGAGCTCTTTTATGTTGCCACATTGCCTTTTCAATTTCATTTAAATGAACATTTACTTCCCCTGAGCAAAACCAAGGGGCCAGATGGTTTAGTTATAAAACACTTCAGTTGATCCAACTTAAATAATCTGGATTTAAATCACTACTGCTCTCCACATACTCACATGTCCCTGCATCAAATGTGAGTGGGTTTGGAAATGTTAGGTACTTAGTTGTGAGGCTGGCTTATCTTATTAAATAAATATGTTACCACAGAGGTCAAATTGCTGGCCAAACTACAGTAATGTATTTAAACAATAGGGAAGATTGGCCACCTTGAGGGCACCTTCACCCCCACTCACTTGTGGGCCTGAGGAATACAGGGTTTGAAGGATGCTAATCTGTGATGGGCATATGGAAAATATCTCTATTCTTCCCAGATCTGTCCTTAGCAAAGCCTTTCTGATTCACGAGAAAAATAAAAGAAATATCAACAATCAGCAACTTGTCATTCCACCTTTTCCCAAGACCAAGAATTACTGGCTTCCATAACCTTCCTCCACCAAACATCTTTGGGCTTATTGACAAGTGGCTCTCTCCAAAAGGTGGAGTGTCTTTTATTCCTAGGCAGTAGGTCTGTACAAGAGGCCACCTCTGAGCTCAGAGACCTGGCAGCACCAACATAAATAGCCAAGTACAAACAAGGCAATGGCCCCATCCCACTTACCCCCCAGGACGGCCTTGGGACAGAAGGGGTGGCACACACAGATCCTGTCTATTTAGTCCAAAAACATCAACTGGAAGATCAGTTGTGAGTCACAGCTCAGCCGGAAGAGGAAAAGGCAGGTGAGGGGATTTCAGCACTATCTCCATCTTCCCTCCCAGACTGTCAAGGCTATGGAGCCCAACTTGATAACAGGTGGAACTCCAAAACAGGCTTTTCTTCATCTGATTTCATCCTCTGACAGCCATTCCAACCCCATCTTTAAAGGGATTTCATATATATATATATATATATATATATATATATATATATACACATTTATGTTTGTATAAAAAGGAGACAGTAGTGGCCTCCATGATGGAAGGAGATGTGAATGTGGAGACAACTTGGTACTAAGCGGTGGCAGGCCCGGGTCCCAGATTATTGCGATGTGAGGCATAACTGGGCCTGGTTGCAGAGGTCGCTTGGAGGAGCAGTGGATGGTGCTGGTGGTCCACAGACCTGCTGCTGGTCAACTCAAAGGAAGGAGGAAGAGAAAGGGAGGAGAGGGGTCCAAGCTGAGACCCAGAGTCCAGACCTACCCTCCAACGTGGGAGATGAGGGAGGAGCT